ACACGACTGCTGGAAACATCCGCTCCCTTCGACTTTGAAAGTCTCTGGCGCATGTCAAAAGTCAACAGGAACACTGAACTCTCTACTCGGTTCCTCGAACAGGTCGGCCTCTCCCTAGGAACGAGTTCCCCTACATCTCTGGTGGAGGTGTCGACTTACTACCACCGGAGAATAGTAGAATTGGATCTTCCTCCCCTCGACGATGTCTTGCAGGTCGTCTATCGACCCCAGAAAAAAGCGATTCTAAGGTCACTGAGGCCAGCCCGTCCTACACGAGAAGCAGAGGATCTGGCCCGCGCCATTGAATTGAGTTTGGCCGATCAAGCGGATGCCGATCTCGCCCAAGCTCTGCGCGCCAGTTTGTGGGACCCCGGCACTGGTATTCCAGAAGACTCCGCCCCCGTGCAGACTGGTTCTTCGAACATCCGACGGGAGGACATCGTACCTGCCGCTTCTGGTTCTGCCGATGGTGGCGGTAAGCTGTTGTTGTATTCCAAATTCACGTGGATTCTGATCCCGTTCGATCAGGCGTGGAAGGTACAGTGGATGGTAATACAATCCTCGGGACCAAAGAGTTCGTTTTCGATTCACCGACGCTCAACGTTTATGTCAAGAGCGCCATGCTGTGGTGGAAGGGCCGGCGAAAACCGCGTGGGGTTTCTGAGTCGCAGACAAGACGGTGTTTGTGAGTGGCTTTTTTGTTTGTGATCTCGCACTGCTTGAGCAGCTTGTTGGCTAGCTCCTGCGAATACCGCGAAGGGTGCGAGTGGAGAGAGGAAAAGGCTGCTGAGGCCGAGGAAGATGTCCTCTGGCGCCAGCTTGGAGACTGGTGAACTCGAAATAATCGGGTTCAGGTTGTCTGTCGATGTTGTATTTTGGGCGGTTTCAACTTATCTAACAGATATATGATGTTCCATTATGATGTGAAGAACATCGCACGGGGCGATGGCAATGTTGAGGGAAGCACTTGGCAAATCCATCATGGTCGGCCAGGTGAGCCATATCAAATCCGTCCAACCAGTCGTCAACCAATCCGAATCACCGGTCACGAGTCAATGAGCCGACTCTACTTGCATGTAAGCGGAGCGGCAAATCCCGAGTTCACTTTGGTCTGTACGATCCCTGTCATCGGCGAACATCTCGTTCTGGCTAGCAACAGCCGCCTCACTGATGTAGGCAGGTAGGTGATGGTTTCCCGCTCGATCAACACCCTGACATCATGTGAAGCCTTTCTCCTCGCACCAGTCACTCGTTTCGCGTGTCTTGTGACGGACCGCGCTTCGTTGACCCTGTTCCAGCTTTTATTTTGTTCGGCAGTTGGATCCCACGGGAGTCCATGACATGCAGCTGGCTGGTTTCAATTCCTATGAAGTTGAACACGAGAATTGGACTGAAGCTCTCTGGGGATTCTTTTTAGTTGCGACGGGTTAGCAGACCGGTTTCATCATGGATCCGGGATTTCAAGAAATGAGAGGAAGCCGAGGGAGCCCAGCTGCTCAAACCCGAGCGCAGATAGCGTGCGAGCAGCACGATCGCTCATTTACTTGCTCTCAGGGGCGGCGACCCTTGCGATCACGGGACAAAGCAAGCAAAGGGCGTCTGAATGACCAGGCTTGAACTTGGCATTTTATGCCAGCGGGCGCGTGGTATCTTTCGATGGAGATTCTCCGCTCCCCTCCCTTGTTGAGCGGAGAAGATCAGGTCACTGCCCCCGTGGCCGATAGTTCATCAGATGCGAATGTCGGTCGTTGTTCAGCGCTCAGCACTGAACGGTTGGCTCCAGGGGAAGTCAGGTTGAAGGGCATTAGGGTCTGCACTATGGAGGTGGTAGGTGCAGGTGAATGAGCGCCTCGAATAGACATCTGAGCACCGCATTTCGACGTCACTACTCCTGCATTACGTGAACATTTGAACGACCTTACTTGTTCGGAAAATAGTTACGGCAGATGCGCTCGGCATGGGAGAAACGCTCGAGTATGGAGTGGCTTTGAAAGCGGCTTTCACTGCGTCGGGACGAACGTCCTGCCGATTAAGTTGAATGCCCAGCCATTCCTGAGCCACATGGTCGGTGCGCGCTAGATATCGCCATGATGTTGCAGTGCTCCAGACTCCGGACCCCGGATTCCGGACTCCCGCCTGCCTTGGCGAGCGCTTGACTAAGCCCTCCCATTCACAGCTATTTCCGACTTGTGATGCGCACAGGCGTCACAAGAGACCGGAATAGCTCCCGCCCGTGTGCAAAAGAGGCTTCTGCTCCACGCAGTTTCTCCGGTTTTGAGATCAGTGTTAACATCGTATCAAAGGAAGCTTTTTTGGAATTTAGTTACTTAGCCGCGAGAAAGGCGACTTCTGAACTTGGCCATGCCGAAATATCTAAATCGAGAACATGTGCATATCACTATTGCAAGCACAGCAAATAATTCAGTCAGAACGAGTCAAATAAAGAAAATGGAATCGCGCGAAATGTTTGAAATTATAGTTTCAGGAAACGGTGATTCCAGACCTTTGAGCTGGTGAAGCTGCCGTTCGGACTACGGCCAAGCTTATCAGATTGTTCGGATCATCACGAGCAGACCACGCCTGCCAAACAAGTTTACACTTGGCACTGGAGGCTCTTCATCTTTGACTACTCCCTGGGGAGCGATTGGAGAACAAACGGCTGCTTGGCACGAACGAACCCGTACTTTTCACGGCATCGATTCGGCACTAGATATCTCGGAATTATTGTCCACGCAGCACATGAGTCCGCGCTCGTCATGGGTGCGGGCACTCGCAATATAAAAGCAACGGCGAGCTCTCTGGAGACTCCAGTTCTCTCTCAGCGAACACAATGCCTTCCCTCGCCACTCTCCTGCAACTCGCTACCTTGGCTGGTGTCGCATTCGCGCTGCCGAGCAATGTGACCGTCTCCCGCACGGAGACGGCGAAACGCGCGACGTGCACGGTCAACAGCGTGTCCAGTTCCAAGAACCTGAGCGGATGCTCGAGTGTCGTCATCCAGGGATTTACTGTCCCCTCGGGCAACACGATCACCATCGCCGCAAGTGCTTTCCACAGCTGCTCGGTCCGCCGTGGGCTCAATTGATCGATAGGCTGCCAAGGGCGCAACGGTGACGATGGCCGGAGATGTCATCTTCGCGAAGACGTCAAGTAAGCTAGATTCTGTAGGGTTATTTCTCGTCAGTTGACTGATCCTTCCAAAGCCGCCGGACCCCTTTTCACATTCAACACCCCGGGAATCGTGTTCAATGGCGGAAACCACAAGATTGACGTGAGTCTGAAAGTTTTGGGGGACATCCAGCGCTGAGACTCCGACAGGGAAACGGTGCCTCCTATTGGGATGGGAAGGGCACCAACGGTGGTTCCTTCAAGCCTCACCCGTTCATCAAGTATGCGATCCATGATTCTCGTCGATGTTTATGAATATCTCACACTCGTTGCAGGCTCAAGGGTTATGGATCGTTCACGTACCTTACTGTCTTGAACTCTCCGGCCCAGGCCGTCTCCGTCGGTACCTCCGGTGGCAAGGCCGTTATCCAGCACGTCACCATTGACAACTGTGAGTCGTCGTCGGTGCTTCACATGGGCCACGAACTCCCGCTCACTATTCCTCCGCCAGCGCTGGGTGACTCCAAGGGCGGGCACAACACCGACGCGTTCGACGTGAGCGCATCGGACGTGACGATCTCCGCGTGCACGGTGCGCAACCAGGACGACTGCCTCGCGCTCAACTCGGGGAACAACGTGCTCATCGAGGACACGACGTGCGACGGCGGCCACGGGATCTCCATCGGCTCGATCGCGTCGGGCAAGTCGGTCACGAACTTCAAGGCCGCGCGCAACACGATCACGAACAGCATGTACGGGCTGCGCATCAAGGTGCAGGCGTCCGCGACGGGCGCCAAGGTCGCGGGCGTCATCTACGAGGCGTGAGTAGTAGTACACTGCGGTTGTGCGGGAGCTCCTGGACTGACGCGAGTCGTGTTCCGCTCCCTCCAGCAACAAGATCTCGGGCATCACCGGATACGGCGTGCTCATCACGCAGAGCTACCCCGCGAACAACGGCACCCCCGGCAAAGGCGGGCCGATCTCTGATGTGCGGTTCACCGGGGGGACCACCAGCGTCTCGACGACGAGTAACGGGTACGGGCTGGTGATTGACTGCGGCGCTTGCACCGGCACCTGGGACTTCTCCGGTCTGGATATCACGTCCAGCGGCAAGGGGCATTCGCTTGCGCTTGATAAGGCCAAGGTGTGTTGGCAAACATGCTTGCTTCAAGGTTGATCTGTGTTGATGTCGTGTTCTCCAGCTGTCCGGTGGTCACTATTAAGCAACGAGAAATTGTACCAGTATATTAATATATTTCGCTTCCTACTCTTTTTCCTGAGCGAGCGATTTGTGTGGTGAGGGTGATCGCTCGGGGTTAACAATTGAGTCGGATCCCCGGGCCGGACCGCCTGTGACAGCTGAAAGCTGTGCCGCTCCCTTTCTTCTCTCGACCATGTCCCTTTCTCTGCGCCTCGCGACACTTGAAGGCTTCTGGAAGATTTTTGCGCATCTCGCATAATTTTTTTTTCAGTTTTCTACCAGATCCTCTGAGGACTTGAAACTCAACCAGAAGATGGAAACTCAGTCACGAACGAAGAGAGTCTGAACCAAGGACGCATTTTTCTACACCATGTCTAGTTTCCTGCGATGAAAAGTGTCGGCTTTAAGCATCAGACTGAGTCTGGGGCTGATGCTTCCGTCATCACAACTCTCCCGTATGAAATGGAATCCGCCCTCCCTTGGTTCAGTCGTCCGGGAGATACCCCTCCTTGCAAGATATTTTCCCGGATTCTTTGTGTCCAGTGGAGACTAGATCATGATGGATTTTGATTTACTGACTATTCATTGTGTTAAAAGTACAAGTAGTGTTCTACAGGAAACATGTTAGGCATTAGCGTACAGTGAATACACGGATGTGATGCTTCAATTCTCGCTTCTGACTCATTCGGGCTCAGTACGTCCCACCGGTGATCTGGGAGTCGAGACTCAACAACCGAATCAACGCGAGAGGAAAACCACCTACCGCCGCGCGGTCCGCCGCAATGCTGTGCCCCTTGCCCGCCGAGGTGACCATGAGGCTGCCAAAGTTCCAGTTGCCGGAGCACGCGCCGCAGTCGATGACGACGGACATCGCGCCGCTGTTGACCGCGACGGTCGTCGTGCTGCCGATGAACTGCACGTTCGAGATCGGGCCGCCGGTGCCGGGGGCGCCGTCGTTGGCCGGGTAGCTCTGCGTGATGAGCACGCCGTAGTCGGTGATGCCCGAGATGATGTTCCTGGGCGGACGCAGCGATCAGTTCAGGAATGAACTGGGCAGAGAACAAAAAAAGCGGAGGACGCACCCTTCATAGGTCACACCGGACACCTGCGCGTTCTGCGCGTTCGCGTCGACCTTGATGCGCAGGCCGTACAGCCCGCCGCTGATGGTGTTCCCGACGGCCTTGAAGTTCGTGACGGACTTGCCGGTCGCGATCGAGCCGATGGAGATGCCGTGCCCGCCGGTGCACGTCGTCTGCTCGACCGTGATCGCGTTGCCGGAGTTGACCGCGACGCAGTCGTCCTGGTTCAGGACTGTGCACTGCGCGATCGTCACGTCCGAAGCGCTCACGTCGAACCCGTCCGTGTTGTGGCCCAGGGCGGCGCCGGCGGCTGATGGGCGGGGTTGAGCGATCCGTGCATTTCCGAACAAAAGAAATGACTCAACAGTTGTCGACGACGACACGCTGTATGAGCGTGACACCCGTGGTCCCGACGGAGATGGCCTGTGCGGGGGAGTTGAGTACGGTCACGAACCCGAATGTTCCCGAGCCCTTGAATCTGAGAAATTGCATTCGCGCCAGCTCCAAGACAGATAAACAAGAAGATGACATACTTGACGAATGGATGCGGCTTGGCCACGCCGCCGTTTGAGCCCTTCCCGTCCCAGTACGCGGCCCCGTTGCCCTGTGTGAATGAGTATCCAAGCGGTGGAGGAACATGATTGCACAGAAACTTACATTGATGTTGCGGTCGCCGCCGTTGAAGTTGATGTTCGGGGTGTTGAACGTGATGAGCGGGCCCGGCGCTGCAGAGACAGACACCTTCAGCATCGTGTCCAAGTTGCCAACAACGGTTATAAGTGCTGACATGTCGTCTTTGCAAAAACAATATCCCCAGTCATCCACACACTCGCGCCACTGGCAGCCTAGAAGCAAGCCACGTTGAGCACTGCACTCGTGTGCGTCACCGGCGCAAACACCCACCGCGATTGTCACCGTCTGGCCGGAGGGCACGGTGAAGCCCTGGATCTCGACGCTCGTGCAGCTCTTCAGGTTAGCGGCACTCGCGACGCTGTTGACGATGCACGTCGCGGCGCGGGGCATCGTGATGTTGCTGGGCGCCGCGAGGGCCACTGTCGCGAGAGCAGCAAGCTGGAGGAGGGAGGCGGTAGCGATCGGGAACATCTTTCGTGCGTGCGCGTTGAGTCGAGTCGAGGGCTGCTGGAACCAGAGAGGGCCGAGCGCTCTTTATACTTTGGCATCCCATTCCGCTATCTCGAGCCAAGCGGTCCGCAGCGCACCGTCCGGGCAAGTCTGCACTCGACTCTGGATTTGGGATACCAGTCACGGCAGCGCGCCCTGGCCGAATTGACACCGCGCAAGGTGGCAGAGAAGGCCCGCAGATCATGACGCCTTGGTTCGCTCACATGGCGAGGACAGGTTCCGGTCCGAATCGTAGCATTTTAAGGTTCAGACGCCCCCAGCACTCGGCGGGACTCCTCACTTGTCGACTGCTACTGGCATGGCAAGCGGGTGGTAGCCTGGAAAGTATTTTCACCCTGATCGAGTCGCCCCTATCTGAGCAAGTTGCGGATTTGCTTTCTAAGCAGTCTGATGCAACAATGTAACATCAGCTCGCCAGTTTCTGGTAAGCGTTCATGATGCAGCCAACACCCAGAGTCCGAGGCCTCTCCGAGTTGACGCGTTCATCTTCCACAGCCCGAGAGCCACCGTAAACACCGACCACAGATTCCGAGGCCACTTGGGGCCGTGTTTCGGGCGTCAACCTAAAAATAATCTGAACACTAAGCAATGCATACCCGGAGCAAGGTCATGCGGGGCCCCACTCCCCAAATTTCGCCGTGCTCTGGCACACAGGAATGTCGGCGCTGCGGCTAGGTTTCGGAAATACTGGTCTCGAGGCCCAACTGCTTTGATGCCGCGACCCGCGCGTTCCGAAGCAGAATAGGAATCCAGGACGTGATGCATCAGCGACGACGATGTATTTTTGTCCTGTCAAAAACAACAAGACTCGGACGACCGACTGCCTTGGCGCTCCGCGGAGCCGAGGTCCCGTCGGCGGCCGAGGGCGTCTGGTGATTCTCTAGAGCTCAGCAGACTGGCCGGCCTACCCACATCGGCGTGGTCTTGCCCTGGGTGGGCTTATCGCAGATGGAGCGCGCGTGCACGGGGATCCCAGTGCTTATTACGAATCAGTGTTTCAGCCCGTTTGGGCATGGTCGAGAACTTGAAGGCTTGGTCTTCTGTATTCCCTCCGTGATCAACTTCCTCAGAGCATGCGGGAGGGGAGCCAGGTGTGGTATTGGGTTCGATAGAAGTACAATTCTGAAGTATTAATTCCGGCTGAGCGTGTCGGATAAAACAGCGCTCAGAGCTCCGTTGTAGAGTTGTTGCGGCGGACGGTTAGTAGTGTCCACCAGAGATCTGCGAGGAAAAGAAGAAAAAAAAGAAACAGAGCTCAGCGACGCCTGTTTCAGACACAGTGAACAAGGCACAACACACCTTGGCATTGTTCGCAGCGATCTTGTGGCCCTTGCCGGCGGACGTGACGTCGAGCCCGGAGAAGTCCCAGTTGCCGGAGCACGCGCCGCAGTCGATCACGACGGACATCGCGCCGCTGTCGACCGCGACGGTCGTCGTGCCGCCGATGAACGCGACGTTCGAGATCGGGCCGCCGGTGCCGGGCGTGCCGTCGTTGGCGGGGTAGCTCTGCGTGATCAGGACACCGTAGTCGGAGATGCCCGAGACGACGTTCCTGCACGCGGATGTGAGTATGAATGAATACGAATAAAAACGCGGTCGGCGCGCAGCGGCAGCGGCAGCGGCTTGCACTCACGCTTCGTATGTGACACCCGACACCTGCGCGTTCTTCGCGTTCGCGTCGACCTTGATGCGCAGCCCGTAGAGCCCGCCGGTGATCGTGTTGCGCGCGGCCTTGAAGTTCGTGACCGCGTGGCCCGACGCGATGGAGCCGATCGAGATGCCGTGGCTGCCGGTGCACGTCGTGTCCTCGACGAGGATGTTGTTCCCCTTGTTCACCGCGACGCAGTCGTCCTGGTTGATCACCGTGCACTGCGCGATCGTCACGTCCGACGCGCTCACGTCGAACCCGTCCGTGTTGTGTCCCAGCGACGCGCCCGCGGCTGGTGGGTCGAGGTAGTGAGAAGACTCGCTTATTGCTTGGCTGTTGACTACTCACAGTTGTCAACCGTCACGCGTTCGATCACGGTCGCTCCGGAAGTTCCGACGGAGATGGCCTGCGCCGGAGAGTTGAGAACGGTCACGAACGAGAAGGTTCCCGAGCCCTTGAATCTGCGCCCGCTGTGAGCACGCGCCGTGTGCAAGATGATATGAGAAAACACGAACTTGACAAAGGGGTGGGGCTTCGTCGACCCGCCGTTGGTGCCTTTTCCGTCCCAGTAGGCCGCACCGTTTCCCTGCACCCATGGTGAGACCGTTCGCCGCAAAATTCGGGTGCACTCACGTTGATGTTGTGGTCTCCGCCGTTGAAGTTGATGTTGTTCGTGTTGAATGTGATCAAAGGACCCGCAGCTGTGCAAATGAGAGGGAGAACTGCTGGCAAGAGAGGATGTCATACACGAGGTCTTCGCAAAGACGAGATCTCCAGCCAAGGTCACGGAAGCGCCGCTAGCAGCCTGGTGGAGGGCAGTCAAAACACGCGTCGAACAACGACGAGGTAGGGAGACGGCAGACCTCGATGTTGAGCGTATGGCCCGAGGGCACGGTGAAGCCCTCGATGATGACGTCGGTGCAGCTCTTGAGGTTCGACGCGCTCGACACGCTGTTCACCGTGCAGGTCGCCCGTTTCGCGGTCGTGGTCCGCGTCACGTTGCTGGGCGCAGCGGCGGCCACGGACACGAGAGCGGCGAGCTGGAGGAAGGTAGCTGGAGAGAACATCGAGGTGCTGCAGTGGAAGGACTGTGGGTCGCTGAAGCTCAGTGAGCCCCAGTCGGAGCCCTTTTATACAAATTCCAACCTCACGTAGAAGTTGGGCCGTGAATCAGGCGGCCCGCTCTGTAGGATAGTCACGGTCCGCTCGGTCGCCAGGTCCAGGACCCCCGATCACACCAGACCAGCGTCCGCTGCGTCTGCCGAACAGCAACCGCCGAGGCATCCCTGCAGTTTCGACTGAATCAAACTTGTTTGTTAGTCTTCTTGGTTCGGAAATGCGCACATGCTCACGGGTGAAACTTTATCTCTCAGCATCCGCGGAGAAAAGTGGAGTATCAGCCGAGGAGGGCTAGGTAACACGGCGGGGGCTCCGAAGAGAGACCAAGTTCTGCAGACTTTTTGCGTGATCGGTAAAGGATTCATCCAACGTCTCAAGACAAGTACGTCTGGGCAGCCAGCGCAGAGAGCCACAGCGAGCTGGACGCAGCCGGGCGGGCCAGCCGAAAGGACGAGGAAAGTCTGCTCTTGCTTGGCATCGCGAAACCCGGGAACAGGTACCGGGAGAAGTGCATTTTTTCAGGCATGACAGGGCATGACGTCGCTACTCCGGATTCTCTCACCTCAAAAACGTGGAAAGCCGCCCGAGAACGGCGAGATGCCTCCCGCCGAGAATCGGCATGTCGGATAGGACTCGGAAATACTGGTCTCCAGGCCAGAGGGATGCGCAAGGTGGGCGGTTCTCGCTCCACCACAATGTCGCACGGGATCGTGTTTCCGACACGTACTAAGAATAGATCGAACAAGGCCGCCGAGCCCTGCGTTGTCTGTGCGGGGGAGGGGGGCTGGTTTGATGGCCAGTGGGCACCCGGATGTGGTTTCCATGAGTCAGGCGATGGCAAGCCCATGTCGATGCTGTCTGCCTCGCTGAGCGAAGCAGTTTAGGCTCGACGGAACCAGTGGCAGGAAGTACATAACCGTTCTGCATCAAGTCGATGTCGTATTCTTGACACAGATGCGCTGGGTTACGTCAGCTTGATCTTGCGACTTGATGACATAGATTGATTATCAATCATGATGTAAGCCAGCCAGACGCTGAGTACCTCACAGATCGCTAACTGAGTGTTATTCGTGGGTCGGAAAACAGGATAGGATGACAAGAACACTCGAATGACTGGATTAATTCAACCTGAAACCCATCTATGACTTGTCGTGTGCTTTTCATCCATTAAGTGCCTATCCTGCGGTTCATTTCCAGCCAGATCCCGCGTCTGATGAATAAAACCAGATAGAAATTGCTGTAGGTTTACTAACACATTTCAAGAAGGGCTTTTTATTCTCAGGGATCTCGGTAAAGCCAACGCTCATGACTCTTCTTATTCTGCTTTCTCATCGAGTCTCCTCGACAAATTGTCCAGAATGTTTTAATTTCACAAGAATATGTCCATTGTCCACTGATCCGAGACAATAAAAAAATGAATAGGGAGGGTATGAACAGTACAGCATGATATAATGGGACGAGTTGTCGAGCCAATGCACTACAACATAGACATTAGATTCGCTGGATCAAACTCTATCATGGACGAATCTCACTCACAGACATATCACCGACCCACAAACGAGACCTTGTCCGACGACTTTCTTTCCCTCCTGATCCGGAAGATGGAACGAAGGCGGAGCAAGGACTTGCGCGGAAGCACAGGCCCCTTTTGTGAGACCTGCCCCCTCTCGTTGCCAACGAGAGGGACTGCTTTGGCTGAAACACTGAGTTTCGACTTGTGTCGTATACTCAGAGGACGCGCAAGCCGCAAAATGGCTCGCTTGTATCGGAGGCAGGACAAGAATGTTTCGCCTGAAAGCGGAGGTGAGTGGCTGATGAGACGCTGGAGTGACTGAGGGTGTGGTATACCTTTGTGCCCACCGATACTGATATCCGGTCTGCAGTTCCTCCTGCTAGAGATACTCGAGGCGAATCCAGTGTTGGACATCTCGGGTACCTCCACGGACAGGGAGGAGCTGAACATGGAGGGGGTAGCGGACTCGGGAACGATCTCGTCCTCATACGCTTCAAGGCCATGCGCCGGGGGCTGCGGCAGTGCCATTGAAGGAACGAGCGTGATCACGAGAACAGAGAGCGTGCTCTGTAGATGAACCGTCAGAAAAGACTCAGGAATCGCACCCTGAGGAGCTCACCATGATTATCCCGAGCATCATTGGCACGAATGCCGAGAGCCGAAGCCACAGAGTGATCTTTTCCTCCGAAGAGGTGAACGACTCGAACGTGGAGGTCGACGACCGCCGTCTCCTCCGCCGAGTGGGGGCGAGCGAGGCGGCGATGGAAGAGGAGGAGGAGGAGGATATGTCACCATGCGAGACCACAGAGGATCTGCGACTGGAAGCGACGGAATGAGTGACCGAATTCTTCCTCCGGGGACGGCACGACGACCGAACCGCCCTTGGGAAGGCGCCTGGCATGGACGTGGAGGTAGAATGCTGGATGCTCATGGTGGTTTTAGTGCAAGTTATTGCAGCGGTCGATTGTAGTCCTCCCTGGAAACTTATACCTCCTTCGCCCCTGTCTCAGTGATCCGCTTCTCTTCAGGACTCGCTCTTGCTGAAATTTCCGGAACACGTGCATAGCGCTTGACTGTAACCATTGAAGAAGGACTCACGAGAGAGGACTATCTGGGTTCAGGTCTCTGCCTCGACCTCAGAGTAAAGAGCCAGTGGGCTCGGCGCTACAAATGCAAATAGGGGCTTCCAATTAGAACCCGCGGATCGCTCCTTACGCTTCCGGTAGATGATGTCATTAAGAACAGAACAACAGAGGCTATAACGATCCTTCCGCGACATCCTGGGCGTAGCATATCCATCTTATAGCACACAATGACATCATTACCCCTGTTCGTGTATTACTGACCAGTGGCATGGCCGCGCCTGACTTGCGCAATTGAACACTCTGTTCTCTGGCATGGCTACCCGGTGGATATTACGCGGCGAAAAATACTTTTGAAGGAGCTCAGGGAGAGTCTTTCGCTCGCCGAAATAAATACAAAAAAGGTAAAATCTTGTGTTCAGAAAAGCTCAGAACGAGAGATTGAAACGGGAAAGATTGAGTGTGGTCGCCTTGTGAGGTTGACGTAGCTTGAACATGACCAAACGATTAGGATACTCATCTGGGTAATGGCCCATAAGGCGAAGCCAAGTGCGACACCCGAGGTTTGTTCGAAATTCCGGTCCCTGCTCAAACTCTCGCACCCAGCCTGAAACCCCATGAAACGACACACGAAGCCAAACTCCTGGGGTCCAATCTTCGCGGGACGGCGAAAAAGCATTCGCTCGAAAATGATTCAAAGGGTTCAGAAGGAAATAATTTTCAGAGGATGCTAGTCCAAGTACGTTGTAAGTAGTAGGGATGAGCCAGATTCTAAAGAGAGTATGAGGCAAAACTAGTAGGTACCACCCGAGATCTACGAGATAGATGAGCGATGCTATGACATGCACGCAAGAGATGGGCAAACCTTTGCCTGGTTCACGGAAAGCTTGTGGCCTTTGCCAGCGGAGGTCACGTCGAGACCGGACCAGTCCCACGTGCCAGAGCACGCACCGCAGTTCACGACCACGGAGTATGCGCTCGAGTCTACGGCGAGAGTGGTCTTCGCGCCGTTGAACGCAACGTTCGAGATCGGCCCGCCAGTCCCGACAGTGGTGCCGTCCTCAGTCGGGTAGCTCTGCGAAATGAGGATCCCGTAGTCGCTGATGCCGGACAGAGTGTTGCTGTGGATCGAAGGAAGGTCAAGAAACAGATCCCATGAGCCACAAGACACACGCTCACCCAGTGTATGTCACACCAGATACCTTTGCACCGGATGCGTTTGCATCGACCTTGATCCGCAGCCCGTACTTGCTGTTGCTGACCGTGTTGCCCGTCGCGCGGAAGTTCGTCACCGACTTGCCCGACGCGATCGAGCCAATCGAGATCCCGTGGCCACCCGTGCAGGTCGTGCTCTCGATCGTCACGCTGTCGCCCGAGTTGACGGCGACGCAGTCGTCCTGGTTCATCACCTTGCTGTTGGTGATCGTCACGTCCGACGCGCTGATGTCGAATCCGTCGGTGTTGTGGCCCTTGGCGTTGCCAGCAGCTGGGGAAAGAGTCAGTCAGCCGCTGCACGGCGACACAGCGAACGAGCAGACGCGGAAACTCACAGTTGTCGATCGTGACTTGCTGGATCGTCGACTTGCCCGTGGTGCCGACCGAGACCGCTTGAGCAGGCGAGTTAAGAACGGTGACCGAGGAGAACGTGCCGTCGCCTTGGAATCTAGAGCGCATGAGCGCAAGTATCAGAAGCGACGGGCATTGGCACCCACTTGACGAAGGGGTGGGGCTTGAACGATCCTCCGTTCGTGCCTTGTCCATCCCAGTACAGAGCGCCGTTGCCCTGCATCCCGGGTGTGAGCGCACTTCAGCAGAAATGAAAACCAAGAGACTCACGTCGATGCGGTGGTTCCCGCCGTTGAAGTTGATGTTCTGCGTTTTGAACGTGATGAGCGGCCCGCTCACTGCACACGCGTAAACAAATGAGACAGGGGAGCGATAGAGTACGACGGACCGGTGGTCTTTGCGAACGTGATGTCGCCGTTCATGGTGACGGTCGCACCACTGGCTGCCTGCAGAGATTGTCAGAATGGACCCTCGGAAAACACTAGGTGCCAAATCACGGACCGCGATCGTGATCGTCTTGCCGGCGGGCACCGTGAACGCCTCGATCACAACGTCCGTGCAGCTCGACAGATTCGACGCGCTGGCGACGCTGTTCACCGTGCAGGTGGCGCGCTTGGCGGTGTCGGTCTGCGAAGGAGCGGCCGAGACAATCGCGGCGAGCACGACAAAGCTGAGGAGACTGGAGAAGGAAGGCATTGCTGGTATTGAGAGAAGAAGGATTGAGTTGTTGAGTCGATGCTCGTCCTGCTCAGTCTGCCGACCTTTTGTACCGTGTCGACATCTAGGTCCTGCTGACGATGTTGTCAGGCTAATGGAGTCAACAGGCACCGTGCCCGCATCTCGCACAAATGCCCAGGGGCACAGAGACTATCTTTAGCTGGTAGGCGGGCCGGCGGTGACGCGGAGGGGAGGGTCATTTTGCGATTGAGCGGGAGTGCACGAGGAGGGAAGAGAAAGAAGCATTGATTCGGTATCATCCGATCACAAATCTCGTCTTAAAATGGACCTGGGCTGTCGCGGACCCTCCGGGAAAATGGGCTTCAGCGGCGTAATATGTAATGAACTGTTCGATAGGTCTTCCCTGATATTCCCGACATAAACGTAATCCTCTTGCGCTTGCCGTCCAGTCCCAGTCCGGTCTGAGTCTCAGAATCCGCTGCAGACATAAAATTGGGACGAGTATGCTCTCATAGTTCCGAAAACTCATCAGCAATTGGTTTCCAGTTTCAATCAGGGTATGTCATATCGGATTTCATACGTGCACAATGCTCAAGGCCTAGCTGTCGTTTCGGCTGCGACATATCGCTGATGGCCGGATTGATTCCAGTCTATTTGCACAGCATCCGGCGAATTGCTGTGTAGAAGTGACTCGTCACCTGATCTAGTCTTGTAAAACTGAGAAGATTCGCGGTTTGCTTTTTTTTTTTTTTGGTGGGACGTTGAGAATACTGAGCGTCCAACATAGTCGTACGCTCAGCATCCGTCGGTTTTGAGGCCGAGGATTAAGAACCTAGCCAGACTGAGGAATAACCACGCGAGGAAATGCGCTTAGTAACCGCCTGTTACCCGCACGATACACCCGGTTTCCCGCGGTGCCATGTGTGGGGATTCGGTTTTCGGCTCCGGATGTCGACATTCATCGACTCCATCATCGCGGTCATCCGATACCCACTAAAACCCCGCCTCCCATGGTCCAGTTATCTGGGAGATGCTCCTCGTTTTCAAGGGTCTTTGCCCACGTCTTCCTGACCAGGGAAGATCGGATTGATTTCTTTCCGTATTTTGCTGTGTTTGTCATCATGCAGTCTATCAGCAGTCTCGTCCTTATCGCTTTCTTCCATCTGTTCTCTACTTCTTGAACAGAGGCATTGCCCTTCTCTTGTATAACGCGTTCGCATCTTATCCTCCATATCATATGGGCTGATTCCGATACTATTATGCGGAAGAGTCTCGACATTCCTGCGTTTGCCTGTTGGATGGCTCCGCATGCCATCACCATTCCTAAGCTTGGGTGCAGGTCTGTGTCCGTCTTTCTTCTCCATATCTCGTTCGCTAGTTTCCAGATCTGGGCCTGTCCCGTTGCTTCACACTTCATCAGTATGTGGTCCATTGTTTCTATGACTTCTTCACCGCAGTGTTTGCAGTGAGCCTTTTCTTCGTGTCCCGGGATTCTCGACCAGTGTGTTCCGACTTTATATCCATCGTGTATCAGCATCCATGTGAAGTATCGGATACTTCGCGAGAAGTCTTTGTGTTGGATGGCTGCCCATATTTGGGCTTCAGTCGCCGCTCCTTTTGGGTCGTTTCCCTCTTCCTCTGTTGCTTGCTGTGCTATTTCTATGTTCCTTCTTGTTGCTCTTCGGTCTAGTGCGTCCTGATATTTGTCGTTCTTCATCTTAAGTTTCCTGATGATTTTGTATGCCACCAATTGTGTCATGGCACGCAGTTTCGCTCCTGGGAGGATGAGCGATCTGTCGACTTGGGTATCTATGATGTCGGGTTGGCTCTTCTGTCTGCCCTCGTTTGCTAGCTTATCTGCTTCCTCATTTCCGTGTATTCCCGCATGGCCCTTGACCCATGTTAATCTTGTACGTGCTCTTCGATTTCGTATCTTCGTGATGGTCAGTTTTGCTAGGTCTCCGTTCGCCGCCAGGAAGAAGCCTTGGTCTTCCCATTTTTGGAGACTTTTGGTGAGTCCATTTACGCAGTACATTGAGTCCGTTTTGATGTGTATTGGTGCTCCTGGTGGGCAGATCTCTATTGTCTCTTTAATCGCTAGCATTTCCGCTATTTGGTTGGATGGGCCGAGTTCGTTCGGGACTTTTATTGCTTTGTTTTCTCGGTCGTCGTCTTCGAAGTAGATCCCTGCTCCTGCTTCGGTTCCTTCCCTGCCGTTCTTTGTCGCTGACCCGTCTGTGTAGGCTTCGAGTTCTATTGTTTCTTTGTCGGGGTTCTCTGCGTGTTCGCGGCTCGGTGCTGTTCGGCTGTGGTTGGTTTCCTCTTCCGTGAAGATTCTAAATACGTCTGCGATGTTGCCCGTTGTTGTGACTCTTTGGTCTATGTCAATCGTTCGTTCCCCTGCTGCTTCTGTTTCTTTCGGTGTCATCTTGTGTTCGTAATCTTCTGGTTGCCTTTTCCTGGGGTCCCATTTCTCGTCGAGTGAGTCTAGCATGTCTCGTGCCTTTTGGTAGCATGCGTGTGGATGCCTGCAGTGCGTTATTGTTTTGGTTATTGTGCATGCGTTGCAGCGGCATGTTCTGGATGCTTTGTGTTGGGTGGTTCCTATTTTTTGGGACAGTAGGACTGCGTCGTTCACTGTTATCATTTTATGGTTCTCCTTGAGGCATCTTATGGTTTCTTTTTTGAATATCCACATCCTCCATTGGGCGTTGGACTTGGTGTGATTCCAGATTACCATCTCGCTTTGGATTTTCCGCGATACTGCTATTGCTTCGATCGCTACCCCGTGTTTCTTTCCGGCTTTGGTCATACGTGCTAGGTCCGTTCCTATCTCTTTTGTGGTTACTTTGTGTTTCCAGTCCTGAAGGTATGAATTTAGGCGGACACTGAGTTCGACATTGTTCCCTTCAGAGGACATTTTGTTGGCAAATATCTTGTCTGCTACAAAACACCACAGTGGTCTGTCGGGTCCGAAGTCTAGGTATGTTTTTAACCACATGATAGCTATTGCTTCGTTTCTCGCTACTATATCGAGCAGGTCTCTTCCTCCCATCTCTGTTGGGGCATACACCGTTTCTTGGTTGATTGTAACTCTCTCTTTTTCCGCCCATATGAACTTTCTAATCCTTCTTTCTAGCCGGTTTTCAATTTCTTTCGGCATTCCCTGTACTGTTGCTAGGTATTGTGACATTCCTCCTACAACCATAAGGATGATGAGCCTGCGGCCTGCCATGGAGGGTTTTCCTTGTTCCCATCTGTCCAGGGCTTCGTCGATTTTCTCGAGGGTGCGTGTCCATGTGTCTACTTGCTGTACGTGGTTCCCAATCCATGCTCCGAGGCACCTTACTGGCTCGCCCTCTTTTGCAATTCTGACATGATTCGGGATCATGGTGCCATCCATTCCGTTCACGAAGTGGTTGGCTCTTACTCTGTCTCTGTGTTCGAGTTTTCCAATTGGTATCATTTCGGTTTTGTTAATGTTAAATCTGGCCCCTGATGCGATACACCATTCGTCAACAATGTCTAGTAGGGACCCGAAATCGTCTTGCCAGTCTAGGTAGATGACCGTGTCATCAGCAAACAGTGTGGCAATGAGTCTCTCGGCTTTTCCTTGAATTTTTATTCCGCGTAGGTCTGATTGTCTTAGTGCTTCAGCCAGGGGTTCTATTGCGAGGTTAAAGAGGAGGCACGAGAGTGGGTCTCCTTGACGGACTCCTCGTGTTACTTTGAACGGTTTCGTGCTTTTTTCTCCGTTTAGTATCACATATGTATGGGCGTCACCGTATAAGGCTTTGATCGTGTTGATGAATTTATCTGGAATTCCGTAGCTTTTCAGTGCTTTCCAGAGATAGTCGTGCTCAATTTTATCATAAGCTTTCTCTTGATCTAGAGCGACGATGACTCCGTTTTTTTCTGTTGCTTCTGCCATTTCTATAATTCGTTTGGTAAGCCATATTTGGTCTTTGATTTGGCGTCCTTTCACAAATCCTGCCTGGTTGGGATGGATGAGGTCTGGGGCTATGTCCGCCAATTTGATGGATAACGCTTTTGTAAATATTTTGTAGTCTGTATTAAGGAGAGAGATTGGTCTGTAGTTTGCGATATCTGTCTTGTCGTTCTTTTTATAAAGTGGGCATAGCCAGCTTTCAGCGAATTTAGTTCCGGCAATAATGCCATTTGATTCGATGTCATTGTACACTGTCGTAAGGCATCTTAGAACATCAAATGCTGGTTTGTCAGCTTTGACAGCTGTCTCGTGTCTATCTTTCAATGTCTTCCATAGTTCGTATGGGATACCGTCTAAGCCCGGTGCTTTGAAGTTGGCTGAGGCTTTCAGGGCTTCGTGTACGTCCTTTAGTGTCAAGTTCTTTTTCAGTTTCTCGTTTTGTTCCTCTGTTGTCTTAGTTTTTGTTCTAGCCAGGACTTTCTGGATTATTTCTTCACGATCGTTGTGGTCGATTTCGCGTCTGTCGTTTTGCAGCTTTTCGTGGTATTCTTTGGCCATGTTTGCCATCCGTTTCGAGTCTGTCTCGTACTCTATGGGCGTTTCCTGGTTACTAAAGGTTGGCGTTGGTTTTTTCAATCTGTGAATTGTGTCTCTAGGTTTGCTCGGCTTATTGATTTTCGACCAGTATCGTCCGATAATCTCGCCGTGGAGTCTGTTTTGGATCTGGGCTGTGAGCCTATTTGATCGGTATCTCTGTTTCTGGAGTTTTGCGATCTGATCAATGATTACTGTTGCGTTTAGGTGTTTCTCCTCCTCCGGTATCATGTTGTCTGAGAAGACGTTCTCAAGTTTCAGTTCTAGTTCCGCAATTTCTTTTATGATTTTGGGGACCACCTGCTTGGCTCTCTCTCGGGCTTTACTTCCGATTTTGGCCTTGAAGTTTGCCCACAAGGTCTGCGCGTTGTATTCTCTTGTTCTTCTTGCGTTCCCTCCTTCCTCGAGGCTGGATAGTTCCTCGCTTAATTCGATTCCGCATTGTTGGATGTGTGTGGCTAGGGGTTTGTCTTTCATAATATATGCCGGCCATGCCCATCGTCCTCGTCCCACCGTCGGGGAATTCTCCGTGGTTACTTTCATCCATGTGAGATCATGGTCTGTCTCGATGCCTATCCTTTTGATGCCCCAGTCGAAGCTGTTATTGAATGTGCTCGGGTTCACATATATGCGGTCGATTCGGGATAGTGATCCTCCGAGTGCGGCTGGCTGTCTGAATGTATATTCTCTGGTGTCAGGGTACGTGGCCCTCCATCCGTCTATCATTCCTATTGCTGATTTAAGTGTATCTAGTGCGTCTACTGCATTCTGGTCATCCTCGTGCGTCGGCAATCTGTCAATAGCTGCCTCCACGATGTTTGTGTCGCCTGCCATGATGTCCGGTCGTCGTACATTTGGGTGGTCTTCGAGGAATTTCTCGATCTCTTCCCAAAATTTTTTGTTTTCTGCTGGGTTGTTTGGTGCGTATACCCCAAGGATTGATAGCGGGTTCCCATTTGCATGTTTTATTTCGAGGATCATCGCTCTCCCGGGTATGACTTCGTGGGTTTTCGATCCGTCTGTTTTTGTCATGTTTTTGTTGATTACGAAGGCTAGGCCTGCTGAGTTAGCGGACCTAGGGTTCTCCGTGAATTCTATCCGCATCTTACGGCTAAAGAGTTTATCAATTTTGTTCTTCCTTTCTTGATTCATGTGCGCTTCCCCCACGATGAGTACCGCTATCTTTTCTTCTCTTACTATTTGCCATATGCCAAACCATTTGTTTTCAGGGTGTTGGACGTTCATGTTTCCATGGCCCCTTATGTTAAGGCCAGCAATCTTCAGTGCGGCTCTCATTTTCTTTTTTCCGTTACTAATGTTTTCTCTTAGCGTTTCTGGTCCGGGGTATACCCGTGGCTGCTCGTTGCGCCTTGGTTGTTGTGGGTTAGCATCTGTCTGGATGTTTGGTGGTCTGTTTTGCTGTGTGCGTTCGTCGTGCGGATTAGTTTCTTCACTATTTCCACTTGTCTCTCTGACATTTATTCCGCCTCTAGCGGTCCCCGTGAGTGGGGGGGGTTTTCTCCTTGAATCCCATGTGCTCTCTGCACATTAGCCCCGCTGTTGGTGCCCCCCGGCATGCCTGTTGCTGCCAGAGTTGCTCCCCGAGGTCCATCATTGACTTCTCGGGACGCGCCTTCTCCGGGTGGAGGATGGCTGTCGTCCCGGGTTGTCTCCGGGCGACGGTTCGCCATATCCCCTCCGTCACGTTCTCCTTCTTCGGTTGTCCCCTGGCCGGTGGCGGAGCCTGGGTCCCCTCGGGATGGCGTGGTCATTGGTGCCGGTTGTCCAGTTTGTTCGTCCATGTGTTCGTGCTCATCTTGAGCCAGAGTGAGGTTGTTATTTGATCTTTCCGCAGCGTTTTGTTGGGACACGACGTGGACCGCGCCTAGGCCCCCGTCGTCTTGTCTTGGTTTTTGGAGTTTGCTAGAAGGTGCGCCGTTTCACAGTATGGGTGTGTAGCGGCTTACCTTATGCATGCCAGGATTGCTGGCTGGCGGACTCCGACCTAAATAGGTCCCGCCAGTGTGGCGCGTCAGGCTGGTAACCGGGGTTGCCTGCGAGACGCGCTTTCCACCTCAGTTACCACCGCCATCACCCGGTTGCACCCCCGCGGGGGTCCTCCTGGGTACCCTCAGACGTAGCTCTGAGGGTACCTAACAGGTACCCCCCTGCGGGGCCCGCGGGGGGGATTTGGTCCATTTGGGGGCGGGGGCATATGCGGGGGTCAGCAGGGGGGGGGTCTGTACATGTCATGTGATTTATCATTGGGAGCGGGCAGGTGGGCGCGAAAAAAAAAATGAATCACATGACACATCCAATGGGCGGGATGGCGGCTGATGGCGGGGTAAAAGAATCATGTGATGCACTGCATGAAAATTATCAAAAATGGCTAGCAGGGGTTGGCGGGGGTTGGCGGGGGCGCTACTGGCCCCCCGCACACCATGGCGGGCAGTGGGCGCATTATCACGTGACTTTTCGGGCACCTTTTGTGCACCATTCGGCATGATTTCGGAGGTGTTGTTTGATCCATTGCATGCTGTGGCAGACAATGGGCGCATAATCACGTGATTTTCCGCCCAAAAAAATGGAAGCCTTCCCCAAATCATCCTGGTATCATTTCTATCGGTAAATACACTAGTTAAGCATGAATTTGAGCTTAGAAAGCCCAAAATGCACCCTGCACAATGGGACTGGTGATGCACTTGATCCCATCATTTGGCGGGGTCTGCTGCGGGGGGTGCCACGGGGGGTGCTGCGGGGGGTGCTGCGGGGGGTGCCGCAGGGGGTGCCGCAGGGCCCGCTGTGGGGTCAACCACAGGAGCAGGGGTAGGGGTGCATTGCATCATATTTTGATCTATCTATTCTCGCTGTGGTCATAGCATGCAGCATAATTATCCTTCATTTTGCCAGGAGTTTGGAGGCTGTGTCTGGGGTTGGTCTGCAGCTACAGCCATGTGACTCCCTGATGCTTCGGCAGGGGCTGGGATATCAAAACTGTGCAAATTTACCTAAATCTTTTGGCTTGGCTTGGGGCACTGATATATATGACTTGGTTCATTTTAGCATGGTCTGCTCAAGCTGTCAGGTCAAACTAAAAATTTGGAAAATGTGCAGCTTGATTTGTTAGGCAAATCTCCCAAGTACATGCTCCAGGGACAGCCAACATCATCAACAAGAAATGGCTAATGTTTCTTTTCTCTGTCTGTTTGCTTCAGGTAGTCTGTCTGCACTCAAATTTTTCTCTCCATTTGCAGCATATTCCGTGGAGGTGTCATAATTGTTGATTTCCGGATTTCATACTTCTTGTCTACACACCATTTGGGCCCTTTACTGAATCCAATAATACTGTAGACTCTTACAATGGATTGAGCAGGACATTTGTCAATTAAATCCTTGCAGGGGTTGGGGGGGGGGTCAACCACAGGGGGTGCCGCGGGGGGTGCCACGGGGGGTGCCGTGGGGGTGCACAAGCATCTGCCAGCCTACCAAATGTGGATCAACTACAAAATCACTTTCCAAAGCTTCTGTACTGCAACCCAAGTGACTTCTAGGTAACCTTTACCCAATCCCAGTGAAACAGCTTCACTGCTCTTGTTTCTGGGTGACAATTGATTTTATGAGCTTGAGTGTGTATGCACCCTTTTTAGTGGGAAATGAGGCCATGTGATGATAGGTAGGGCACAGAAACATTGTAAAATACTATATTCAACATGACCGGTGGCCCATGTCTCTTCAAACCAGCCCATATCTCATGTTTATGAAGACCCTATTTTTCGGACTCATTTCAAGTTTTTGAATAGTTCCAGGGTCCAGGGCTCTCAGAATTTGTTTCAGACACTGCCAAAGAGTATATCATTCAGCTGTATTGAATTGCTTGTGTGTAGAAAAAATATTTTTTGCCATACCCAAAGTGAACCATGTTGAACCATTGTCTACATAGGAACCTTGAGCAATGGTGAACTCTTTTCATGTTTCGAATTTTAGGTGGACAAATGATATGAAGTATCTACATATTCAATAAGAATAGCAGAAGGAGACCTTATTCCGATGGTTTTCAGCTGCATAACTGTAGGAACAGTGTTAGAAGAGCAGTAAACACTTAGGTACGACGTTTATACAGGTTCTGATTGGCTAGTGACTTGACGTGTTCCGAGCTGTCAGTTTACATAATCTTACATATAAGAAAATCACGGGGACAAGGCACCGGTGCAGCGGGGGGTGCTAGACTGGCGGGGGTGCCAGCGGGGGTGCCGGCGGGGGTGCCAACAGGGGTGCCGGCGGGGGTGCCAATGGGGGTACCAGCAGGGGTGCAGGCAGTGGGTCATGGCAAGGATGTGTGCAGCCCCAGAGGTAGTAAAAGTAACCATCTATGTCTCTACAGTCTATCTTGCACATATACAAGCTCTGAGTGCACAGAGTGTTGTATATGAAATTTGGAATTCAAATATTACCAATCTCTGACTATTGTGAGGCAACTTGCTGGTGAATCCATTGTCTCATATTCCACCTAGGAATCAATTCAGGGCATGTCAAATCCACTCTATTACATCTGTTCATGTTGCAACTAAAGCAAACTGCTTGTAAAGTAACACAGAACAGATGAACTTCAATGAGTCCCAGACAGGAAGTGTGACATTAGGTGCATAATTAACGTGTGGTATTATCCACTGGGTAAGATTAGACTGTGCCTACAGCATGATCAGTTTACCAATGGGCATGTGTATAGAATGAGCAGACGAAACAATCAATGAGTTGACAGTGGACCCGATGCAGCCCATGATGTCAGCCCACCTACCCTGCCAGCCAAAAAATGAACAAATCACACTTTCTTTTTAACCCTACATGCCTGGATTATGCAGACAATATTGCACAGTTTTGATATCCCAGCCCCTGCCGAAGCATCAGGGAGTCACATGGCTGTAGCTGCAGACCAACCCCAGACACAGCCTCCAAACTCCTGGCAAAATGAAGGATAATTATGCTGCATGCTATGACCACAGCGAGAATAGATAGATCAAAATATGATGCAATGCACCCCTACCCCTGCTCCTGTGGTTGACCCCACAGCGGGCCCTGCGGCACCCCCTGCGGCACCCCCTGCGGCACCCCCCGCAGCACCCCCCGCAGCACCCCCCGTGGCACCCCCCGCAGCAGACCCCGCCAAATGATGGGATCAAGTGCATCACCAGTCCCATTGTGCAGGGTGCATTTTGGGCTTTCTAAGCTCAAATTCATGCTTAACTAGTGTATTTACCGATAGAAATGATACCAGGATGATTTGGGGAAGGCTTCCATTTTTTTGGGCGGAAAATCACGTGATTATGCGCCCATTGTCTGCCACAGCATGCAATGGATCAAACAACACCTCCGAAATCATGCCGAATGGTGCACAAAAGGTGCCCGAAAAGTCACGTGATAATGCGCCCACTGCCCGCCATGGTGTGCGGGGGGCAGTAGCGCCCCCGCCAACCCCCGCCAACCCCTGCTAGCCATTTTTGATAATTTTCATGCAGTGCATCACGTGATTCTTTTACCCCGCCATCAGCCGCCATCCCGCCCATTGGATGTGTCATGTGATTCATTTTTTTTTTTCGCGCCCACCTGCCCGCTCCCAATGATCAATCACATGACATGTACAGACCCCCCCCCTGCTGACCCCCGCATATGCCCCCGCCCCCAAATGGACCAAATCCCCCCCGCGGGCCCCGCAGGGGGGTACCTGTTAGGTACCCTCAGAGCTACGTCTGAGGGTACCCAGGAGGACCCCCGCGGGGGTGCAACCGGGTGATGGCGGTGGTAACTGAGGTGGCGCTTTCCCTTCCCCGTTTCCCGTCCTATACTTTTTTTTGAAAGTGTAGTCGGTATATTTGGCGGGGTCGGGTTGCGCTTTTTCGGATGCACGGTTCCGATAGCGACTTCTTCCGAGCCCAGACTCGGGGAGGGGTTGCCCTTGGTTTACTATGGTGCTGCTCATGAGATGGGTGGGGGGGTCGGGCTTTCACGGTGAGCAAGATGGTATTCTATGGGTATGGGATCTGATATGTATTCTACGTGGGCGTTCTCGTTAGGGGGGGTCTATGTGTGTCTTCCACGACCACGGCCACGGTTCGGGAGGTTTCCTCCACCTCGGCTTCGGGAGCTTCCTCCGCGGTGTACACCTCCGCCTCTATGGTTGTTGCGGTCGTTGCGTTTCGACGCCTTTGATGCAAGCGGATGGTCCGGGGGAAGACGTGAGAGTTGGTCTGGTGGGCCCCACCATTTGGCCGCTGTGAACGGGCACATGCGGGAGGGGTGGTCGTCGAGCTTGCATATGACACAGCCTTTGATTGAGCCATCGTACATGTCGACGCTCGGTTTGTATCGGATGGCGCCTGCTATGTATTCCTCTTGTCTCAGCATCTCGCGGAGCTTGAGTTGCTCGGCTTCTGATCCAAACCCAGGATCCATGTATACCGCCATGGTGGCGCATTCGCCATCGTTTCTGTAGACCGCATCGATGCTGAGGGCGATGTGGTCGATCCGTTTTTCCAGTGGTCCGGTCAGCGGTTGGGTCATGCGGTCGAGGTGTAGCACGATTTCGTTGTTTGTGTGCATCCTTTCTCGGATCGCACCTCGAAGTTCCGCCATCATCTCTTCTGTGTCCGTTATCGACGACATCTCGAAGTGTGCCAGTGTCCAGCTACGTTTCTCCTCCAGGAGGGTTGTCGGCCAGTATGCGGTGCAGTTGTTTACTGCGATGAACGGCTCTTGGAGGATGGTGTCGCGGGTGTCTGAGTCTTCGCATCTGAGGAATGCGACCATGGGGGGTGCGTATTTTGCCCCTTTTCCGTTGCCTTCGGAGACTGGGGCGACATAGTGGATTTTGTCTGAGATGCCGGAGAGGGAAAGCTTGACGTCCGTCCCGGTCTCATTGTGTCTGCTATTGAATAGATGCTGACCGCCCAGTGCCATGATGATGATTATGGTTTTCGACGGATCCCATGACTCGACTTGTTTTCGCTGGGCTTTGTCGACCCCTTCCCAAATTCTGTATCTGGCGATATTGTGCACTGGGAAGACTCCCCCTTGTACTCGCTGGAAGGGGGCTTCCCCCTTGGAGTTTAGCGTGGGTGTAGGGCGTTCGTCGACGACTTTTAGGTGCGGGTTGTCGTCACGGTGTTTCGCTTTCGTAGCCCCGAATTCTGTGTCTGACATGCGTATGTAGGTTTCGTGGTCATCCATGGTGATCTCTTCGATGTCTGCTCTGTTCTCGGTGTTGGTTGTGGCAGGTTCTTGGGTGTTTTCTGCGTTTATGGGGGATTCGGAGTCTTGGTGGGGCTCGGCGTCTATGTGGATTTCGTTTTCGCCTGGGGTCGGGCTTGCCTGGGTGTCTGTCTCGTGTCGCTCAGCGAGGGGGGAGGCTGGTTGTGTCTGGAGGCTGATTTCAGTCTCGTTCGGGGTGGCGTTGTCTCGTCCTCGTTTGTCCGTGCCTCTCCGTTTGTATGGTGCTGGTCTATCGTGCTCGCGGCCTTTGCGCACCACTAGCTCGCCTTGTGTGTGTTTGGGGATGGTGTCTGTTCCTGGGACTTCTGTCTGGGATGTCTCTGCCAGTTTGTTGGTGGTTGGGAGGTTTTCTTTTTTTTATGAAAAGGGTGTGTGTAGGTTCGTGTAGGTGTCAACGTGTCACTGGTTTTTGGGCCGTCGGCTAGGTTCTGCCAGCGGTGCGTGTTGGTTCCCGTATGTTTCGTGTCTTTTATGTTTTTTCCCTCAGAGTTTTTCTTCTCTGGGGGGGTTATTATCTCTCGTCTGTAGAGGATATCTTCTATCGCTTTTCCGATATGCATGCGGTTACATCTTGGAGGGTTATATCCACTCGGTTCATACAGTCTATTTTGTATTTCTTTAGGTTACTGCAACCCTTTTCCCCGTCTGTCAGGGTGCCACTTTTCTGTTGGGCTGGCGCTCCTTTTGAGCGTCCCGTCGCCTGTTGCGGCGGGGGGAGCCTCTGATTTTCTTCCTCACGCATCAGATGATGGTGGTAAGACATCAAGAAGTCCCCCTCGCGGTTTGCTTTGAGGATCAAGTTTAGGCGATGGACAGGATATCTGCCGACTTGGCGATCTGAAGAAACCTCCGACAATGCTGGGAGAATCTTCTGTTCTCCTGTGGAGATGAAACGTTGGGTAAAGTAGTTGGCTCATAGAAACTAAGGGAGCAGAGATCACAATCTGAAGGAACGAGCTCGAAGCCTGTTGATTCAATCGTTGACGTAGCCGGGATTTGATCGACCGGTTCGGATGCTCTACAGGGTAGAAAGCGGCAAAGCGGAGACCGGTGCAACACCGGAACGAGCTGGCCCAGCCTGGAACTGGCGTTTGACCGATTGTGGGATCCACTCGGACAATGCGGGGGGCACGTCAGTCGCACTGACAAACTATCCGCTGCCCGCAATGATGAGCCTTTTGGGTGCAAGATATCTTTCATGGAGGTGTTTCTTCTTGTGAGGAGCACAGTTCAAGACGCTTGAAACAATCGGAGTCTATGGCGCGTTTGCAGATCTAAAAAGAGGCGCAAAATGAAGTCAAGGATCCTTGCCTCCTTGACGACCACTCTTGACCCACTGGATGGAATCTGCTCTGAAAATAACTCAGATCCGATCAAGGTGCATATCTTTGTGACCGCCACAGCCCAGATCCATTTTAACCCGGAGGGTCCGCGACAGCCCAGGTCCATTTTAAGACGAGATTTGTGATCGGATGATACCGAATCAATGCTTCTTTCTCTTCCCTCCTCGTGCACTCCCGCTCAATCGCAAAATGACCCTCCCCTCCGCGTCACCGCCGGCCCGCCTACCAGCTAAAGATAGTCTCTGTGCCCCTGGGCATTTGTGCGAGATGCGGGCACGGTGCCTGTTGACTCCATTAGCCTGACAACATCGTCAGCAGGACCTAGATGTCGACACGGTACAAAAGGTCGGCAGACTGAGCAGGACGAGCATCGACTCAACAACTCAATCCTTCTTCTCTCAATACCAGCAATGCCTTCCTTCTCCAGTCTCCTCAGCTTTGTCGTGCTCGCCGCGATTGTCTCGGCCGCTCCTTCGCAGACCGACACCGCCAAGCGCGCCACCTGCACGGTGAACAGCGTCGCCAGCGCGTCGAATCTGTCGAGCTGCACGGACGTTGTGATCGAGGCGTTCACGGTGCCCGCCGGCAAGACGATCACGATCGCGGTCCGTGATTTGGCACCTAGTGTTTTCCGAGGGTCCATTCTGACAATCTCTGCAGGCAGCCAGTGGTGCGACCGTCACCATGAACGGCGACATCACGTTCGCAAAGACCACCGGTCCGTCGTACTCTATCGCTCCCCTGTCTCATTTGTTTACGCGTGTGCAGTGAGCGGGCCGCTCATCACGTTCAAAACGCAGAACATCAACTTCAACGGCGGGAACCACCGCATCGACGTGAGTCTCTTGGTTTTCATTTCTGCTGAAGTGCGCTCACACCCGGGATGCAGGGCAACGGCGCTCTGTACTGGGATGGACAAGGCACGAACGGAGGATCGTTCAAGCCCCACCCCTTCGTCAAGTGGGTGCCAATGCCCGTCGCTTCTGATACTTGCGCTCATGCGCTCTAGATTCCAAGGCGACGGCACGTTCTCCTCGGTCACCGTTCTTAACTCGCCTGCTCAAGCGGTCTCGGTCGGCACCACGGGCAAGTCGACGATCCAGCAAGTCACGATCGACAACTGTGAGTTTCCGCGTCTGCTCGTTCGCTGTGTCGCCGTGCAGCGGCTGACTGACTCTTTCCCCAGCTGCTGGCAACGCCAAGGGCCACAACACCGACGGATTCGACATCAGCGCGTCGGACGTGACGATCACCAACAGCAAGGTGATGAACCAGGACGACTGCGTCGCCGTCAACTCGGGCGACAGCGTGACGATCGAGAGCACGACCTGCACGGGTGGCCACGGGATCTCGATTGGCTCGATCGCGTCGGGCAAGTCGGTGACGAACTTCCGCGCGACGGGCAACACGGTCAGCAACAGCAAGTACGGGCTGCGGATCAAGGTCGATGCAAACGCATCCGGTGCAAAGGTATCTGGTGTGACATACACTGGGTGAGCGTGTGTCTTGTGGCTCATGGGATCTGTTTCTTGACCTTCCTTCGATCCACAGCAACACTCTGTCCGGCATCAGCGACTACGGTATCTTGATCTCGCAGAGCTACCCGACCGAGGACGGCACCACTGTCGGGACTGGCGGGCCGATCTCGAACGTTGCGTTCAACGGCGCGAAGACGACTCTCGCCGTCGACTCGAGCGCATACTCCGTGGTTGTGAACTGCGGCGCGTGCTCTGGCACGTGGGACTGGTCCGGGCTCGACGTGACCTCCGCTGGCAAAGGCCACAAGCTGTCCGTGAACCAGGCAAAGGTTTGCCCATCTCTTGCGTGCATGTCATAGCATCGCTCATCCATTTCGTAGATCTCGGGTGGTACCTACTAGTTCACTTCTCAGTCTTAGAAACCTGTTTCTGCTCTCATCACCTCTCCGTAGACTAATGTCCCATGCTACTATTCGTATCTTCATCCCTTAGACTCTTTGAAACATTGCAGGAATGCACATCTATACTTAACAGTCCCTCACCGGTGAAGGTGTGATTCCTGGAGGCCGACGGCTCAGAATTCGCCGGACAGTAATGCTTGCACTCCGAGAGCATCGATGATTAACAGGTCAAAAGTAGCTGCGATATTCAAGAATCCGTGGGTGATAATGTCCGTCCGTCCGCTAGAGAAAAAAGAGAGTGCAGCCGGTGGCCCAGTGTTTCTTCCTCCCTGTCACCTCCGACCTCGCCGCCTCTGTCCGGGCTCGTGCGCAACAGGCACACAAAGGGTCGTCCCCGGCATGAGGTGCTCGCACTCGACATCCGTGTTGATTTTCCGCAGATCCTCCAGCGAGCACGAGTGCGTCTTGGCGATCTGCCAGCACGTATCGCCCGGCTCGACGAGGTATGGCGTTGCGGCCCTGCCGTATTGCACGCACGGGCTCAAGGGGGGTTCCAGCCCCGGAGAGAGGATGAGGCGCCACACGAGGAGCAGCACGACGCCGATGATGAGGAAGAACGGGAAGAGGGTGCGGTAGGGGAATGCGGTGCTACTGGCGAACGCGTGCTCGCCGTTCTGTGGGTCGTTGGGCGTGAGGGACGAGGCTTTATATGTGGTTGATTGGAATACCCACGGCGCCGGTAGCGAGCGACTGGTAGCCGTCCGCCCGCCTCGGACCCCTCGTCTCCGACTCGAGATCGTGGTCGACGTCGTGAGGTGGGTACGCGTTGTCCCCGTCTGACACTGAGCACCGTCGTTCAGTAGTGTCTGGGAGAAACGAAGAGCAAACGAACCCCTGGTGAGTGGACCATACTCTGAGCCTTCGGGGCTCTGCCATACCGAGCCGTCAGTATCCCGGAAGTAGTACCGCTGAGTGTCCGCATCGTATCCAGTGCGCTGCATACCGTCTGGAAGCCGGTCCGAGTCCTGCAGGGTGAAGTTTACTGCTGCTCAGCATACGTATTGAAAGAAGAGGGAAGCAGTGCAGACATCGTCTGTCCACCGACTCATGCCGCGGACACTCAAAAGCGAAGATGTGGGGAAGAGATGATGGGAGATACGTGGAGATGGGCGTGGGAATTTGGTCTTTATACGGTCATGCACTCTTCTTCGGCAACAGTTGAACTTCAAGACGTGATTTTCCGCAATGCCACGGCCACAGAACGCCACAGATCGTCGGTCTCAAAATTCATGGACTTTCGACGGCCTATCAAATCTTCATGAGACTGCTTAGAGACCTAGGCGGGAAACTTGAGTGAAATTGTCACTTTTGAAGACCCTCTGCATGGCTGTTCATCTGCTGCAGATGTCTTGGACAGTTGGTTATTCCATGTGGCAAGGTTCCCAGGTCGGCGGCCTCTTCTGTGCCCGCTGACGTTTTCACCTGCTTTTCCAATGTCAACCCCAGGTCAGATGATTCTCGGTCGCGTGGGGCTCAGTTGCTTCCAGTTCTTTGATGGTCTCGCTCATCCTTTAAAGGCAGAGCGGGAAGGCAACTGTCATGCCCAGGAATCACTCGTGGTAAACCTCCCTCTCGGTCAAGAATGAAGTTCTCGTCTACGATCTTGGGTCTCGTCTCGGCTGCGCTCTGCGTTCAGGCGGCGCCTTCGCCCGCTGGGAACCAGCTCGAGAGTCGGAATCTTCTTGGTGAGATTATTGACGCGCTGGGTTTGGGATTCGTCCAGAGTATCAATGCGACGATTACGGTGCGAGACGTGCCTCGACCCTGTCCGGTTCAAGCTGACTCTGCAATCTCAAAGCTCGACACTCTGACCGATAATCTGCTCAAGTGGGTGCTAAATGTATGAAAATCGCTTTTAGGCACTGATCCGGCGCTCTCAGCATCACATTCGAGGGTGAGCCGTAACATGAATCCATGCTGTTTTCTGGCCGGATTGTTCTGATCATGTCCCCAGCAAAGAATTCGCTTCCATTTGAGCTCACTCTGGAATCGGTCAAGAGCTCGGCTGGGATCAACGGCACGGAGTACGCGTCATTCGCCTACACTTTCCCTAAGCCTGTCGTCATCCCTCCATTCGGCTCAGCCAGCTCTGGAGAGATTCCGAATGTGTTGTTGACGCAAGGAGCCACCGCTGCACTGAACATCATTCCCTTGGGCTTCTTGGACTTGCTGGATGTGGACATCACACTCAAGTAAGTTGCATGTGCTCCCAGTCTCGCCTAGATTTCGACAAACAGTCTGACTTGACGAAAATTAGGGCTTTGACCATCGATGGTCACTTGGGAATTCCTCTCAACATCACGGGGCTGAAGCAAAACAACATCACGACGAGGTATGTATCTGGAAATATCACGAGGTCTTCGGTCATTTGACGCGCTTCCTTCACGTAGCTACACTCTTTCATTGGTCTAGCCACATCACGGCTTCGCGAAGTACTGATGGTCGCACTTGAATTGTGCGCACGTTCACGTTTTGTATACCAAATGTATCCCGACGAATATTGTCACGCGGTTTTACCCGACCACATGTGAGGGCGAGTCACTCGCCAGCTGCAAAGGTGACCGATCTGCGAGTACTCATTTTCCCGAAACCATAAGGATCCCGTTTAGTTCGAATTTGGACCACTCGGGAAGCAACTCGAACCGAGGAATGCACGGATATCCGTCTCGTAGGCCTCACTGAGATTGCCACCAAATTTTGGGCTTGAAGAAATTCACTTCTGCCAAGCACTCTCAGAACCGATTTCGGTTTATACTTATGGGTGGTCATTCTGGGTTCTTGACTCGTGATACTGTGCCGCTTCCAATCATTGAAAGGACCAATGCATCAATGATCGTGTTAATGATACTATAGGTGACTGTGATCTTGGCCACCTAAGGCATCTGAGCACTCTGGACCATGCACAAATGGACGTAGTACCTTGTAGAGTGGTTGAAACATGACCTAGGGTCTTGGGAGCAAGGTCCAACCTGCCACTCAATTTTATCATCATGCGTTCTCTCTCACGGAATATTTTCCCGCGACCACTGTCGAATCGGGTCAACCGGGCTAGTTGGCCGGGCGTGGGAACATCACGTGTGCCTTGTTCCCTCGCACGACTGACACGTTTTCTCGCCCACTCCAGCTGGTATTCACTATTACCCATGTACACACTTGACAATATACAAGTATTTTTTTATGCATTTGAGGCTGTGAGGGATACACGGTGTCGGCAGGGTGCAGAGAATTGGAGCGGCACACGGTGTTTTTGCGCTGGGTGTTGCTGGTGCTCTTGCTCGGGTTTGAGTTCATGGTGGGTCGTTTTTGAGTATGATACGTCTTCAGCCATCTTTAAGACCTGTCCTGAACTTTGCAGACGCACCTTGACCTATGAAGCTGACCCTGTGCACCCAAACCCAAATCTCACAAGGCCGCCAATGTGTGTAGATTGATACAACGTCTCTGCCATTCATCATGGACATTTTTCTTATCCGTGAAAGTTCCAGGGTCATTGGAGAGTCTAAAAGAAAGTGCGCCCATACCGTTTGCCTCATTTTAAGCCCACTAACCCCAGATCACATGGTGATGATGCTCATCATTGGCGGCGATGCGGTGTGGCCAATAAAATGCACAAAATTGCCAGGGCAGTGAATATCAATGGCAAAAATAGTGTATAACCACCGTACAATTTTCGGGGGACAAGTTGACCTTGTTCCTTCTGACGGTTGTCTGCTTAAGGTGATGTTTTCTGCACTTTTCGGCCACATGTCGCAGCAGTGTAACAGCAACAGGGCCCCGCACGGGCATCATTAACATAGCAAAAGGTTCCCTGAGTGAAGCCTCGGTACTCCGGCGTTGAACGAGTACCCAATCATTGCTGACATCGTGGAGAATACTGTACCGTGCCAATCAAATCGTCAGGGGGTGTGATGCGTGACACAAAAGATCAATTCGTCAATTCGTCAGGTCCCCCCATGACATGTGACATGTTGATTTTTTCGTCAGGTCATGCATTCACCTCCCTATGAGTTGCTTGCAACTTGATCTGAAGCTATCTGTGTGATAGCCCCAGACAGACTCAAAACAACACAGGGAAGGGTACACAAGTATTTTTAACACTTCAGCTGAACCCCACAAGCCTTATTTATTTCTGAACGGAAAAATGAATTCGTCACCTGAGCATGTGATGCGTGACATCAAAACAAATTTCGACTTCGTCAGGCAGCCTGTGACGCGTGACTGACGATTTGATTGGCACGGTACAGTAGTGAGATATGAGTCATATGACCACCATCCCAATAAGGAATCGGCCCGCACGCTCCCGAAATCAGTGACAGATCACGTCGCAAACATGATCGACAGTAGCTATAGGCTGGTGCTCTCGTCTACAAGGGCATTCTGAATCGCTCTTTCATCCTAGAACAAAAGAATGTCCGAAAACTCCCTATTTCTGCTTCGAAACATGAAATGGCCAACTAGCTAGGGTGGCCAATTACCCAGTCGGGTATAGTAGCACGTGATACGGGGGATCCAACAACTTTCGGTACCGTTTCCCACCATCTTGTATGTTATGGACCATTCTCTCGGAATCCCATAGATCGCTTGATGTATCAGTCTCCTCTCAGTCGGACCTGTGTATCTTGCCATTTATTTGAGTCGGATGCTCCATTTCCATGATCTGGCGGTTCGAAATCTAGACTGCACTGCCACCTACATGTGTTCGTCATGGAATGAGGTACAAAATAGATCAAAGCTACGATTGAAGCTGCAGCAGCGCTTCATTCGAGTACCGCTGCCCGACCCTCGGTCACCGGGAGGAATTAATGGTCCAAGTCGGAGAAAGCGAGGGCGAAAGGCCAAGGCGGAGCAACTAGTGCACGCGCAGGTCATAGATTCTCTCATAATTCCGATGACATGTATTGTTTTCCCTCCCAGGACCGCGTGCGTTCCCGATTACAGAATAGCGTTGGTCGTCCAGACCTAAGGCGCGGTAACCACCCGACAAATCCCTGCGCTCGTCTCGGAATACCCGGGTATCGTGGCTAATCGCTCATTTTCGAGCATGGTGGATGGAAGCGAGCCTAGATTCAGTATCATGTTGGCACACTTAATCGATTTTTTCTTATTATCGCAAGCCGCAGAACCTAGCCTGGATGCAGCGTCTCAAGAGACCATCTGAGCCCTTGCGAATCGTTCTCAGCACTGGCCAGGCCTTGTGGAGTGCGTTCAACTCGTGCGATAATCAAGATCCAGACCAGGATTTCGGATGAAATCCCCGTGCTTCACTGTCCAGACCGCCCGGCCATCCAGCGGGCTTCGATTCTCCGACCTGTGAACTCGACTCGGTTGCTGGTGAGATAGTTGCACCTCAGTTACCACCGCCATCACCCGGTTGCACCCCCGCGGGGGTCCTCCTGGGTACCCTCAGACGTAGCTCTGAGGGTACCTAACAGGTACCCCCCTGCGGGGCCCGCGGGGGGGATTTGGTCCATTTGGGGGCGGGGGCATATGCGGGGGTCAGCAGGGGGGGGTCTGTACATGTCATGTGATTTATCATTGGGAGCGGGCAGGTGGGCGCGAAAAAAAAAATGAATCACATGACACATCCAATGGGCGGGATGGCGGCTGATGGCGGGGTAAAAAAATCACGTGATGCACCGCATGAAAATTATCAAAAATGGCTAGCAGGGGTTGGCGGGGGTTGGCGGGGGGCGCTACTGCCCCCCGCACACCATGGCGGGCAGTGGGCGCATTATCACGTGACTTTTGGGGCACCTTTTGTGCACCATTCGGCATGATTTCGGAGGTGTTGCTTGATCCATTGCATGCTGTGGCAGACAATGGGCGCATAATCACGTGATTTTCCGCCCAAAAAAATGGAAGCCTTCCCCAAATCATCCTGGTATCATTTCTATCGGTAAATACACTAGTTAAGCATGAATTTGAGCTTAGAAAGCCCAAAATGCACCCTGCACAATGGGACTGGTGATGCACTTGATCCCATCATTTGGCGGGGTCTGCTGCGGGGGGTGCCACGGGGGGTGCTGCGGGGGGTGCTGCGGGGGGTGCCGCAGGGGGTGCCGCAGGGGGTGCCGCAGGGCCCGCTGTGGGGTCAACCACAGGAGCAGGGGTAGGGGTGCATTGCATCATATTTTGATCTATCTATTCTCGCTGTGGTCATAGCATGCAGCATAATTATCCTTCATTTTGCCAGGAGTTTGGAGGCTGTGTCTGGGGTTGGTCTGCAGCTACAGCCATGTGACTCCCTGATGCTTCGGCAGGGGCTGGGATATCAAAACTGTGCAATATTGTCTGCATAATCCAGGCATGTAGGGTTAAAAAGAAAGTGTGATTTGTTCATTTTTTGGCTGGCAGGGTAGGTGGGCTGACATCATGGGCTGCATCGGGTCCACTGTCAACTCATTGATTGTTTCGTCTGCTCATTCTATACACATGCCCATTGGTAAGCTGATCATGCTGTAGGCACAGTCTAATCTTACCCAGTGGATGATACCACACATTAATTACATACCTAATGTCACACTTCCTGTCTGGGACTCATTGAAGTTCATCTGTTCTGTGTTACTTTACAAGCAGTTTGCTTTAGTTGCAACATGAACAGATGTAATAGAGTGGATTTGACATGCCCTGAATTGATTCCTAGGTGGAATATGAGACAATGGATTCACCAGCAAGTTGCCTCACAATAGTCAGAGATTGGTAATATTTGAATTTCAAATTTCATATACAACACTCTGTGCACTCAGAGCTCGTATATTTGCAAGATAGACTGTAGAGACATAGATGGTTACTTTTACTACCTCTGGGGCTGCACACATCCTTGCCATGACCCACTGCCTGCACCCCTGCTGGTACCCCCATTGGCACCCCCGCCGGCACCCCTGTTGGCACCCCCGCCGGCACCCCCGCTGGCACCCCCGCCAGTCTAGCACCCCCCGCTGCACCGGTGCCTTGTCCCCGTGATTTTCTTATATGTAAGATTATGTAAACTGACAGCTCGGAACACGTCAAGTCACTAGCCAATCAGAACCTGTATAAACGTCGTACCTAAGTGTTTACTGCTCTTCTAACACTGTTCCTACAGTTATGCAGCTGAAAACCATCGGAATAAGGTCTCCTTCTGCTATTCTTATTGAATATGTAGATACTTCATATCATTTGTCCACCTAAAATTCGAAACATGAAAAGAGTTCACCATTGCTCAAGGTTCCTATGTAGACAATGGTTCAACATGGTTCACTTTGGGTATGGCAAAAAATATTTTTTCTACACACAAGCAATTCAATACAGCTGAATGATATACTCTTTGGCAGTGTCTGAAACAAATTCTGAGAGCCCTGGACCCTGGAACTATTCAAAAACTTGAAATGAGTCCGAAAAATAGGGTCTTGATAAACATGAGATATGGGCTGGTTTGAAGAGACATGGGCCACTGGTCATGTTGAATATAGTATTTTACAATGTTTCGGTGCCCTACCTCTCATCACATGGCCTCATTTCCTACTAAAAAGGGTGCATACACACTCAAGCTCATAAAATCAATTGTCACCCAGAAACAAGAGCAGTGAAGTTGTTTCACTGGGATTGGGTAAAGGTTACCTAGAAGTCACTTGGGTTGCAGTACAGAAGCTTTGGAAAGTGATTTTGTAGTTGATCCACATTTGGTAGGCTGGCAGATGCTTGTGCACCCCCACGGCACCCCCCGTGGCACCCCCCGCGGCACCCCCTGTGGTTGACCCCCCCCCCAACCCCTGCAAGGATTTAATTGACAAATGTCCTGCTCAATCCATTGTAAGAGTCTACAGTATTATTGGATTCAGTAAAGGGCCCAAATGGTGTGTAGACAAGAAGTATGAAATCCGGAAATCAACAATTATGACACCTCCACGGAATATGCTGCAAATGGAGAGAAAAATTTGAGTGCAGACAGACTACCTGAAGCAAACAGACAGAGAAAAGAAACATTAGCCATTTCTTGTTGATGATGTTGGCTGTCCCTGGAGCATGTACTTGGGAGATTTGCCTAACAAATCAAGTTGCACATTTTTCAAATTTTTAGTTTGACCTGACAGCTTGAGCAGACCATGCCAAAATGAACCAAGTCATATATATCAGTGCCCCAAGCTAAGCCAAAAGATTTAGGTAAATTTGCACAGTTTTGATATCCCAGCCCCTGCCGAAGCATCAGGGAGTCACATGGCTGTAGCTGCAGACCAACCCCAGACACAGCCTCCAAACTCCTGGCAAAATGAAGGATAATTATGCTGCATGCTATGACCACAGCGAGAATAGATAGATCAAAATATGATGCAATGCACCCCTACCCCTGCTCCTGTGGTTGACCCCACAGCGGGCCCTGCGGCACCCCCTGCGGCACCCCCTGCGGCACCCCCCGCAGCACCCCCCGCAGCACCCCCCGTGGCACCCCCCGCAGCAGACCCCGCCAAATGATGGGATCAAGTGCATCACCAGTCCCATTGTGCAGGGTGCATTTTGGGCTTTCTAAGCTCAAATTCATGCTTAACTAGTGTATTTACCGATAGAAATGATACCAGGATGATTTGGGGAAGGCTTCCATTTTTTTGGGCGGAAAATCACGTGATTATGCGCCCATTGTCTGCCACAGCATGCAATGGATCAAGCAACACCTCCGAAATCATGCCGAATGGTGCACAAAAGGTGCCCCAAAAGTCACGTGATAATGCGCCCACTGCCCGCCATGGTGTGCGGGGGGCAGTAGCGCCCCCCGCCAACCCCCGCCAACCCCTGCTAGCCATTTTTGATAATTTTCATGCGGTGCATCACGTGATTTTTTTACCCCGCCATCAGCCGCCATCCCGCCCATTGGATGTGTCATGTGATTCATTTTTTTTTTCGCGCCCACCTGCCCGCTCCCAATGATAAATCACATGACATGTACAGACCCCCCCCTGCTGACCCCCGCATATGCCCCCGCCCCCAAATGGACCAAATCCCCCCCGCGGGCCCCGCAGGGGGGTACCTGTTAGGTACCCTCAGAGCTACGTCTGAGGGTACCCAGGAGGACCCCCGCGGGGGTGCAACCGGGTGATGGCGGTGGTAACTGAGGTGGATAGTTGATCACTATTAGACATTGATGTAGTCACACACCGCCACATTGACATTACTTCATGGAGGTAAACCTCGTTGATAAGCACTAAGCAACCCTTGTGAAGGCGAGCAGCAGACGACCATCGGATTACGCAATAGACAGAAAGTGTCTCATCCCAGTCTGGAATGCAAGGGAAACATACGTCACACCAAGAGGGAATTATATTCATCTTGGTTCCATCTTTTTATGTCGAAAAAAAGTCGCAACCAAGGTCTCCGGAGGCAGAACCAAATGCGATCAGGCACAAATTGAAGTCAGGAGATCCCGGAGCTTTTATTCATTGGGGCAGTGGACTTGCGGCAAACCTCGGATTTTCTCAGTCTCGGCTTGGGTTCCGAAATAAGAATTTGCTCAAGAATCGCTTACCATGGTAATCGTCGGTGTTGGGCCTTCTTTTTGGCGTTTACGAGATAGCCAGATTTTTACTATCGATTACCCAATTTCCTGCTCCATAAACGCGATTGGCGCTGTCCCGTCAATAGGGTCACATTCTTGGAAATGGCTCGCGCAGGTTGACAGAATTGAATGCGAGCGATTAGAGAGAACTCCAATAGCCGTCTAAGTCGCTCCTTCGAAGGTTTGTCGACTAGCCATCCAAAGGAATTCCAGGTCGAGACTTTGTTCGGAGAGACCGGGGAATCTAGATTCCGAGTCGAAAGCTACTGATGCTCCACAGAATCAAACTTGGATCCGTCTCAAATCAAAGAAGTCTTTTTGGCGCGTCTCTACCGCGATTGACCGCCGGATTTTCTCTCTTCCGGGACCGACGACCTGACCAACCACTGCGATTTTCCGAACTTTATGCAGAGATGCTCATCGCCGAGAGATGATCTGACACAAGCAAGGAAGTCCCAGAGCACTGGATATGTCTCTCGAGTAGAGTTGTCATAGTCAAAAGTTAGCCAATGGAACTCTGGCAGCTATCGATCCGCTCGACAGTCCAGATAATTCCCGACGACGGCGATCGAGCGTATCACGCAATGACATAGTCTTCGGTGGTGGCTGTACATGCACGTGTGCGGAGGCCAGATCAACTCCTGGCAAAACTATTCCCTCCCTCTTTCGGAATCAGTCGCGACGCAGCACATGGTTGCCCAAGATCGACTACGGCCAAAGGGTCGACCAATTCGCAATCTTCGCGGGCCGCGGTCCAGCAAATTCGGTATAAAGACGACAATGGGTTATCGAGGGACTACAGTTCTCTCGCTGTGGACAACATGCCTTCCCTCGCCACTTTCCTTCAACTTACTGCTCTCGTCGGTGCCGCGGTGGCTCTTCCAGGCAACGTCACGGTCGCGTCGCGCACCGAGACAGCGAAACGCGCAACCTGCACGGTCAACAGCGTCTCCAGCTCGAAGAACTTGAGCGGATGCTCGAGCGTTATCATCGAAGGATTCACTGTTCCCGCCGGCAACACAATCACCATTGCAGTACGTCGGCCGCCTGTATCTTCTCAATCCCCACCGTTGATCTCGCATTTTATCACAGGCTGCTAGCGGTGCGACTGTGACCATGGCTGGTGACGTTATCTTCGCGAAAACATCCAGTGCGTGCTTAAGCACCGTTGCTCGAGAGTGCTTACTGATCCCCTTCTCATCAAGCCGCCGGCCCTCTCTTCACCTTCAACACTCCGAACATCGTCTTCAACGGTGGAAACCACAAGATCGACGTGCGTGGTGCCGTCATCGAGAGATCAGGTGCTGAGACACCGACAGGGAAACGGCGCCTCATACTGGGATGGTAAGGGCACCAACGGAGGTTCATTCAAACCCCACCCCTTCATCAAGTGTGTGCTTCACTTCTACGATCAACTGCCTACTGACCGCGACACAGGCTCAAGGGCTACGGGTCGTTCAAATACCTCACCGTACTGAACTCTCCTGCACAGGCCATCTCTGTTGGCACCACAGGAGGAAAGACCGTCATCCAGCGCGTCACCGTTGACAACTGTGAGTCGCTGGGCCTTGAGCCGAGCAGAGTTGTGCTGACCGTACGGATGTAGCCCTGGGCGACTCCAAGGGCGGGCACAACACCGATGCCTTCGACGTCAGTGCTGACGACGTCACCATCTCTTCCTGCGTGGTCCACAACCAGGACGACTGCCTCGCGCTCAACGCGGGGAACAACGTCCTCATCGAGGACACGACGTGCGACGGCGGACACGGCATCTCCATCGGCTCCATGGCCTCGGGCAAGTCCGTCACCAACTTCAAGGCCGCCCGCAACACGATCACGAACAGCATGTACGGGCTGCGCATCAAGGTGCAGAAGTCCGCGACGGGCGCCAAGGTCGCTGGGGTAACCTACGAGGCGTGAGTGTTCCTCCGCTGTCCGTCCCTCGCTCGCATGTCGCTGACGGGGATGTCGTCTCCAGTAACAAGATCTCCGGGATCTCGTCCTACGGTGTGCTGATCACTCAGAGCTATCCCGCCAACAACGGCACCCCTGGCAAAGGCGGACCCATTTCGGATGTCCAGTTCATCGGCGGAACGACGACCGTCGCCACGACCAGCAGCGCTTATGGTCTGGTCATCGACTGCGGTGCATGCACTGGCACCTGGGACTTCTCCGGCCTCGACATTACGTCCAGCGGCAAGGGACACTCGATCCAGCTCGACAATGCCAAAGTGAGTACTGGGGAGCTCGAGTTCCTGTTATGTCGTGTTGACGGATGCATTTGTTAGCTCTCCGGAGGTCACTACTGATCTGAATGGGAGTGTATATCCTAATCTCAATCTCAACCGTAGTACTTCGCTCTCATGCTGCAGTGGCAGCGAAGAACTGTACCAATATAATTTGTTATGTTTTCGAAATCGTGCATGGCTTGGACTGTGACGACGGTCGCTTGGCAATCAGCGCTTTGAATTCACAGTGAAGGCGACCGCACCTGTTGACCCTGCGCGATTGTAGACATACCTACCCGTCTCGCAAAGCGGAGAGTTTGCACGTGACATGCACTCATTTTCTCAGGGGCTCACGTCTATGTTCGTCGCACTGGTTGTGCAAATTTCGGTTGCGCACACTCTGGCTCTCAATCGGAGTCCCCCCTCTTCCGCAGCGGCCGGCGTTCGAGTGCAGGGACCCTTTCAGCACGTTTGGCGGGGCAAGGCTGGGTCAGATAATCATTTGTCTGCTGAATGGAGAGACGATGGTAGATTATAAATATGACATGGTACGACCACTGATTTACACTCTCGATATCCTCATTGCCCTCCCCGATTTCACGACAGTGCAGTCGCAGGTCAATGCCGACAGCGGGAATAAAAGCGCAGGAGATCTTTGCTTCCGCACGGCGATTCCAGCTGCCTTGGACGAGTATGAGGTACACAGGACTACTCACGGACGCTGCGGCGAATCCTCCCGCTCTGCCGAGTATCACTGTGGATAGGGACATTTCCAGCCTTGGATCGGGCCGAATGCCGGCCGGCAAGCCTGTGTAACATGTGAAGGATACTAGCCACGAACGGGCAATTCCTTTGTGAATTGAGCTACTCCGCTACTTCCACACTCAAGGAACAGTCAGGGTTGGAAGCAATTAGGCTCTATTCAATTATATAATGTATTCGATGAGTGCAATATTCGTAGGGAGCGTCAGGCTTGGATGAAATCAGTAAGTGCCTCCAGAGATCTGCAAGAACGCGTCAGTCGAACGCAGAACATCGCGGCACCAACAGGGCGCACCTTCGCCTGGTTCACCGACAGCTTGTGGCCTTTGCCAGCCGAAGTCACGTCGAGGCCAGACCAGTCCCAGGTCCCAGAGCACGCACCGCAGTTCACAACCACGGAGTATGCCCCAGAGTCTACGGCGAGAGTGGTCTTCGCGCCGTTGAACGCAACGTTCGAGATGGGACCGCCGGTCCCGACAGTGGTGCCGTCCTCGGTCGGGTAGCTCTGCGAGATGAGGATCCCGTAGTCGCTGATGCCCGACAGGGTGTTGCTGTGGATCGAAGGAAGGTCAAGAAACAGATCCCATGAGCCACAAGACACACGCTCACCCAGTGTATGTCACACCAGATACCTTTGCACCGGATGCGTTTGCATCGACCTTGATCCGCAGCCCGTACTTGCTGTTGCTGACCGTGTTCCCCGTCGCACGGAAGTTCGTCACCGACTTGCCCGACGCGATCGAGCCAATCGAGATCCCGTGGCCACCCGTGCAGGTCGTGCTCTCGATCGTCACGCTGTCGCCCGAGTTAACGGCGACGCAGTCGTCCTGGTTCATCACCTTGCTGTTGGTGATTGTCACGTCCGACGCGCTGATGTCGAATCCGTCGGTGTTGTGGCCCTGGGAATCACCAGCAGCTGTAAAGGAGTCTGTAAGCGACTGCGCAGTAACACAGCGAATGACCGAGCTCACAGTTGTCGACCGTCACTTGCTCGATCGTTGACTTGCTCGTGGTGCCGACCGAAACCGCTTGGGCTGGCGAGTTCAGCACGGTGACCGAGGAGAACGTTCCGTAGCCTTGGAATCTGGTGAACATGAGACGAGCACCGGAAACACGACCATCGGCACGCACTTGACGAAAGGATGGGGCTTGAACGAGCCTCCGTTCGTGCCTTGGCCATCCCAGTAAAGAGCGCCGTTGCCCTGGATGCGGTTTCAAGCCAAGTCAATCAGGGGAAGAATCCCTGGTACTCACGTCGATGCGGTGGTTCCCGCCATTGAAGTTGATGTTCGGGGTGTTGAACGTGATGAGCGGGCCGCTCACTGCAGACCCGTCAACGAATGAGACTGGCGAGAGAACGAACACGACGGACCGGTGGTCTTTGCGAAAGTAATGTCGCCGTTCATGGTGACTGTGGCACCGCTGGCCGCCTGCAGATCTCGTCAGAAAGGGCTGCGCCCTCGGTAACCGCTGGTAGCCACATGACATACCGCGATCGTGATTGTCTTGCCGGCGGGCACAGTGAATGCCTCGATCACGACATCCGTGCAGCTCGACAGACCTGACGCGCTGGCGACACTGTTCACCGTGCAGGTGGCGCGCTTGGCGGTGTTGGTCTGTGAAGGAGCCGCGGACACAATCGCGGCGAGCAAGACAAAGTTGAGGAGACTGGAGAGGGAAGGCATTTTGGAGATTGAGAGAAGAAGGATTGAGTTGTTGAATCGATGCTCTTCCTGCTCAGCCTACCGACCTTTTGTACCGTGTCGACATCTAGGTCCTGCTCACGATGTTGTCAGGCTAATGGAGTCAACAGGCACCGTGCCCGCATCTCGCACAAACGCTCAAGGGCACAGAGACTATCTTTAGCTGCGAGCTAGGCCGACGGTGACACGGGCCCGGCCCATTCTGCAACTCAGCGTGCGGATGCGCGGGCAGGGAAGAGAAAGAAGCATTGATTCGGTATCATCCGATCATCAAACCCATCTCAAAATAGAATTCGGCTGGTACGGACACACACGCGATCCAGGGCGCTGACGCAGGTCAATCGTGCTGCGGCATATCACGCATTTTCTTCGGAGCTCAGGCCGCGCCTGGGATGAGGTCAGGTCCATTCCATGCATATAGACGTGTTGCTTAGGAGGCATGCCCTCCTGACTGTAAGTTGCGCTTTTTTTAGACTGGTGCTGACAGGACGGGATTCCATTGTTTTTGTTGTGCTAGGACAGCGCTCCGCGCGGAAAAATCGATCTGTCTCTTGCAAGCCTTTCCGTCTAACTGCCTCGTCCGCTTTTGCACCCTTTTGGTTGTCATTGAGACTCAGGCACACGCTCACATTCATCCACATTACCCGACTGTCAAAGTGGTTGCCACACTCGGACAAGTGCTACATAGTTCTAGGTTTGGCCCACTCGTTTCATATCGGCAGCGTGATTCGTCTCACGAGTCATCAATTCTGACAACCTTGCGGAGAGGGTGGCTATTCCTCCAGCTCTTCAAAACGCTTCCGAGCCGAACCTCGCACTTTTAGTTGACTAAGACCAACAATATCAATTTTCGCCTCTCAATGCCCGCGACTCAAAAGGATTGGCTCCTTTTCTCCGGCATCTTTGAGAGCATGATCCTGTTACCGAATATTGTCCCCTGATATATTCTCTGCCGAGGTGGACAGCAAAAAACCTTTCTGTCCTCAGTTTCATTCCGAATGTATCTGCTCTTCTTGACGATACTTGATTTCACGACTGGAATAATGAACTTCGGACGTCAGATGCAGTCAGGTGACTGGTATCAGCACCAGGTTGTAACTGTGGCTCGGCATTCACCGTCACGGCGTCAGATCATGGGCTAGTGTTTTTTCCGGTCTTTATCACAAAGAATAAGAATGGAAAGAACATGGATTCATCCAAGCTCAAAAAACCTGAAATTATTCATCCTTGAATTCAAGCGTTCATATTTGAACATGGCTGCTGCAGAATCAACTGATCAAAAGAAATCAAACATCAATTGCAAGATCCAATAAGAGCATCCTCACCATTTTATAATTTAAGGATATTGTCAGTGGAACTCCCTTGGAGGTCGCCCTGAGAAGAGGGGTTCCCCTGACGGAAATCATCAGTCTTTGTAACAAAGGAAAAGAGAGCTTGCTAGCTTGCTGTTCTCATTGAAGCGTGTAGAAATGTTAATCGAAAACTCCAGGATTTGTTTTAGACAGAGTTGCACCCTGTAGTGTTGTGCCCTCTGTCCTCAAAAGGTGATGCAGAGAAGTGTGATGCAACTGTGTCCGGCCCATCAAAATCTCGTGAATCCGGTTCGTGAACCAAGAATTCCGGGGACCTGATATGAAGTTTCTGGCATGGGTCATGAATCTTGAGGAAGGAAAAGTGTGTTGAACGACCTAGAGGCGATTTAGAAAGCCGTGGGCATGGCAGGTCAATTTTTGTGCTAGTCAACGTGATGACTTAGGGGAAACATCAGAGCTGAAGTGAGTGGTCCAAGCCTGGAAGTCGGACTTGTCCGAGCGTGGCATCCACGACGGTCGGAAAAGGGCGGGCCTATGATAAATTAGTTGCAATGACAACCTAGATATAGGTTGCAAACGATGGCGAGTTCATAGCGCGTGGGATAGATGTGGGGTTAAATTCCATATTTGAGGGAGTACTACGGAGAGTCCCAGAAACAATCGAAACCCGCGCCGTTTTCGCTATTCTGAAAAAAAGCAGGTTGCACCTGAGGGTGCATGGCACTGCATAACTCCATAACGACCGCTCGTATCACACTGGATGGACACGGCTCCAGGCGCGGCCTGAGCTCCGAAGAAAATGCGTGATATGCCGCAGCACGATTGACCTGCGTCAGCGCCCTGGATCGCGTGTGTGTCCGTACCAGCCGAATTCTATTTTGAGATGGGTTTGATGATCGGATGATACCGAATCAATGCTTCTTTCTCTTCCCTGCCCGCGCATCCGCACGCTGAGTTGCAGAATGGGCCGGGCCCGTGTCACCGTCGGCCTAGCTCGCAGCTAAAGATAGTCTCTGTGCCCTTGAGCGTTTGTGCGAGATGCGGGCACGGTGCCTGTTGACTCCATTAGCCTGACAACATCGTGAGCAGGACCTAGATGTCGACACGGTACAAAAGGTCGGTAGGCTGAGCAGGAAGAGCATCGATTCAACAACTCAATCCTTCTTCTCTCAATCTCCAAAATGCCTTCCCTCTCCAGTCTCCTCAACTTTGTCTTGCTCGCCGCGATTGTGTCCGCGGCTCCTTCACAGACCAACACCGCCAAGCGCGCCACCTGCACGGTGAACAGTGTCGCCAGCGCGTCAGGTCTGTCGAGCTGCACGGATGTCGTGATCGAGGCATTCACTGTGCCCGCCGGCAAGACAATCACGATCGCGGTATGTCATGTGGCTACCAGCGGTTACCGAGGGCGCAGCCCTTTCTGACGAGATCTGCAGGCGGCCAGCGGTGCCACAGTCACCATGAACGGCGACATTACTTTCGCAAAGACCACCGGTCCGTCGTGTTCGTTCTCTCGCCAGTCTCATTCGTTGACGGGTCTGCAGTGAGCGGCCCGCTCATCACGTTCAACACCCCGAACATCAACTTCAATGGCGGGAACCACCGCATCGACGTGAGTACCAGGGATTCTTCCCCTGATTGACTTGGCTTGAAACCGCATCCAGGGCAACGGCGCTCTTTACTGGGATGGCCAAGGCACGAACGGAGGCTCGTTCAAGCCCCATCCTTTCGTCAAGTGCGTGCCGATGGTCGTGTTTCCGGTGCTCGTCTCATGTTCACCAGATTCCAAGGCTACGGAACGTTCTCCTCGGTCACCGTGCTGAACTCGCCAGCCCAAGCGGTTTCGGTCGGCACCACGAGCAAGTCAACGATCGAGCAAGTGACGGTCGACAACTGTGAGCTCGGTCATTCGCTGTGTTACTGCGCAGTCGCTTACAGACTCCTTTACAGCTGCTGGTGATTCCCAGGGCCACAACACCGACGGATTCGACATCAGCGCGTCGGACGTGACAATCACCAACAGCAAGGTGATGAACCAGGACGACTGCGTCGCCGTTAACTCGGGCGACAGCGTGACGATCGAGAGCACGACCTGCACGGGTGGCCACGGGATCTCGATTGGCTCGATCGCGTCGGGCAAGTCGGTGACGAACTTCCGTGCGACGGGGAACACGGTCAGCAACAGCAAGTACGGGCTGCGGATCAAGGTCGATGCAAACGCATCCGGTGCAAAGGTATCTGGTGTGACATACACTGGGTGAGCGTGTGTCTTGTGGCTCATGGGATCTGTTTCTTGACCTTCCTTCGATCCACAGCAACACCCTGTCGGGCATCAGCGACTACGGGATCCTCATCTCGCAGAGCTACCCGACCGAGGACGGCACCACTGTCGGGACCGGCGGTCCCATCTCGAACGTTGCGTTCAACGGCGCGAAGACCACTCTCGCCGTAGACTCTGGGGCATACTCCGTGGTTGTGAACTGCGGTGCGTGCTCTGGGACCTGGGACTGGTCTGGCCTCGACGTGACTTCGGCTGGCAAAGGCCACAAGCTGTCGGTGAACCAGGCGAAGGTGCGCCCTGTTGGTGCCGCGATGTTCTGCGTTCGACTGACGCGTTCTTGCAGATCTCTGGAGGCACTTACTGATTTCATCCAAGCCTGACGCTCCCTACGAATATTGCACTCATCGAATACATTATATAATTGAATAGAGCCTAATTGCTTCCAACCCTGACTGTTACTTCAATGTGGAAGGGCAGCTGGAATCGCCGTGCGCAAGCAAAGATCTCCTGCGCTTGTAGTCCAGCCGTCGGCATTGAACTGCGCCTGCACTTGAAGCAAACGTACTGCATTTATCCATTTCCCTGTCGTGAAATCGGGGAGAGCAATGCGGATATCGAGAGCGGAAATCAGTCGTCGTACCATTTTATATCCATTATCTACCATTGTCTCTCCATTTAGCAGACAGATGGTTATCTTAGCCAGGACTCAGCAATGCCCCGCCAAGCGTGCTGAAAGGGCCCCTGCACTCGAAAGCCGGCTACTGCGGAAGAGAGAGATGCCGATTGAGAGTCAGAGTGTGCGCACCCGAAATTGGCACGGGTGACCCAGTGCGACGAGCATAGACGTGAGCCCCTGAGAAAATGAGTGCATGTCACGTGCAAACTCTCCGCTTTGCGAGATGGGTAGGTATGTCTACAATCGCGCAGGGTCAACAGGTGCGGTCGCCTTCACTCTGCAGTCAAAGCGCTGACTGCCAAGCGACCGTTAACGTTGTCACAGTCCAAGCCATCTACGCTTTCGAAAACAGAAGAAATTATATTGGTACAGTTCTTCGCTGCCACTGCAGCATGAGAGCGAAGTACTATGGTTGAGATTAGGATATACACTCCCATTCAGATCAGTAGTGACCTCCGGAGAGCTAACAAATGCATCCGTCAACACGACATAACAGGAACTCGAGCTCCCCAGTACTCACTTTGGCATTGTCAAGTTGGATCGAGTGTCCCTTGCCGCTGGACGTGATGTCGAGGCCGGAGAAGTCCCAGGTACCGGTGCATGCGCCGCAGTCGATGACCAGACCATAAGCGCTGCTGGTCGTGGCGACGGTCGTCGTTCCGCCGATGAACTGGACGTCGGAGATGGGTCCGCCCTTGCCAGGGGTGCCGTTGTTGGCGGGGTAGCTCTGGGTGATCAGCACGCCGTATGACGAGATCCCGGAGATCTTGTTACTGCAGACGACATCCCCGTCAGCGACCAAGAGCGAGGGACGGGCAACGGAGGAACACACGCCTCGTAGGTTACCCCAGCGACCTTGGCGCCCGTCGCGGACTTTTGCACCTTGATGCGCAGCCCGTACATGCTGTTCGTGATCGTGTTGCGGGCGGCCTTGAAGTTCGTGACAGACTTGCCCGAGGCCATGGAGCCGATGGAGATGCCGTGTCCGCCATCGCAGGTGGTGTCCTCGATGAGGACGTTGTTCCCCGCGTTGAGCGCGAGGCAGTCGTCCTGGTTGTGGACCACGCAGGAAGAGATGGTGAAGTCGTCAGCGCTGACATCGAACGCGTCAGTGTTGCGTCCGTCCTTGGAGTCACCCAGGGCTATTTATGTACAGTCAGCGGACTTCACACAGGCCGCAGGCTTCGCTACTCACAGTTGTCAAACGTGATTTCGCCAGGAGAGGTCAGTGAAGCGATGCGTTCCTCCAGAAAGCTCTGTCAGCCACCTGCCAGCCTCCGGGGCCGAAAGCCATTGGTATGCAAATCCAGGCTCTGCGTCGCGACCGGTTTACTTCGTTGCTGTTGGTTGTTTTGAGTGAACACTGCGATTGGTACCTTACAACTCGCATGGTCGCAATCAATACGATCATGATCAGGACCACGCAGATCTCGAACGCTTTCTTTCCGCGACTTCGATGAAGGGCCTGAAGAAGAATCTCAGCCTCGTGCGTTGTCGTGTTATATGCGCACCCTGAGGTTCTCAAACACGTCTAGCTCAATAGGAAGGGCTCAAGCTCCAGCTCCAACTCCAGCGATTCTTCGAAGAAATCCGACACAAGGCCGCCTCCCAACACACAGAAACCTCTCCCACCACCCGGAAATGCCGGCGATGGTCCTTCCCCTACCCATCCCGTCATAGCCATCCCGCGGGTAGTCCCTGAGCCGAGAATCGCACCCCCACCCGTTATCATCGACCCAGCACATTCAGATTCGGACGAGCGCATATCGCCAGCTGAGTTGGCAGCCAGCGGTCACAGTCTCGGCCCACCGCGTGCGGGCACGTCCAGCAACACCCGTTTACGTCCAGGCGTCAAGGATACGATCCCCATCATCGGAAAGCCCCCTCGTCAGCAACGCAGCAGCCGGTTTGTTGTCACCACCAAGGTGGAAATCGAGCGACTACCGTCGTTTCTGGGTGCGTGTTACGATTCAATCGGGCCACGAACTCAGGTCTTCTCAGAGACGACGCCGACGAAGCGACCTCAGCTGTTTATCGACAAGCTTCGCCAGTGCCGCGTTCTTTTCGATTTTCGAGATGCTAGCTCTGAACTTCGAGGGAAGCAGATTAAGGCGCAGGCGCTGACTGAGATGCTGGACTATATTACGACTCAGCGCGGGGTGATTACTGAGCAGCTGTACTCGGAGGTCGTTGGAATGGTATGTGATCATTATCCACCATACTGTTCTCACAGGGTATTGTATAGTTTGCTGCCAATCTGTTTCGGTCGATACCCCCGCCTATCAATCCCACAGGCGAACCCTTCGATCCGGAAGATGATGAGCCAGTTCTAGAGCTTGCGTGGCCCCACCTGCAGCTTGTCTACGAATTGTTCCTGCGCTTCGTCGAGAGCTCCGATTTCAATACTAATCTCGCCAAACGACACATCGACCAGACCTTCGTGCTCAATCTCCTGGAGCTCTTTGATTCTGAGGATCCCCGCGAGCGAGATTTCCTCAAGACCACGCTGCATCGTATCTACGGCAAATTCGTCAGTCTCCGGGCTTTCATTCGACGCTCAATAAACAACGTGTTCTTCCATTTCGTCTACGAGACCGAGAAGCACAACGGAATCGCGGAGCTTCTCGAGATTCTTGGTGCCATCATCAATGGGTTCGCGCTACCTCTGAAGCCAGAGCACAAAATCTTCCTGACACGGGTGCTGATGCCTTTGCACAAGGTCAAAAGCTTGTCGATGTACCACGCTCAGCTCGCGTACTGCGTTGTGCAGTTTCTCGAGCGAGACCCGAGTTTGGCGCAGGATGTGATGATGGGTCTGCTCAAGTACTGGCCCAAAGTTAACTCCCCGAAAGAGGTTATGTATTTGAGCGAAGTCGAAGAGGTGCTAGATGTGACGGACCCTATCGAGTTCCAGAAGATCCAGGTGCCTTTATTCCAGCAGCTTGCCAAGTGTATCAACAGCCAGCACTTCCAAGTCGCGGAGCGGGCGTTGATGTATTGGAACAACGAGTATGTCGTGAATCTTATGAGTGACAATCTGCCTGTCATTCTGGTGATCGTGTTTCCTGCACTGTACGCAAACTCGAAGTCGCATTGGAATCGGTGCGTATGTTTCTTCGCTGGGCATACAGGAGCTGATGACGTCTCTAGTGCCATCCACGGCATGGTTTACAATGCGCTACGACTCTTTATGGAGATCAACCCTGATCTGTTCGACGAATCCTTGCAGCAGTACAAGCAGAGAAAGATTGAGTGCATGATGCCGTGTTTTCGTGGTCTCATCATCCGCTAAACCACCTCACAGGGAACATGAATCAGCGGTCTATCGGTACAACGCATGGATGAAAATGCGACAAGTAGCGGCTCAGAATGCACCTGGGGGACATCTGCCTGAAGGATATGTTGAACTACCACTCGACCCGCCTGAAGAACCGGCGGAGGAGCCAGACGTTTTAAATCTTGCGATGGAGCTCAACGCCGCATCGATGGAAGACATGTCAGATCTGGACGAACATGGAATGGAACGCGTCCCCATTGCTTGATCTTTGTACGTCTCATCCTCATGGGCCGTAAAAAGCTGCTCATGATGATATCGTACCAGCTTGGGGTGGACTTTGAGCAGCAGGCTGTCACCGAGACGGCGGGCCATATGCTATTTCAGAGGACCCTCGTCGCCCACTAGCGCTTTCAGGCTGGGCTACCAACTCCTCTCAGACTCCTCAACGGGTCATCGAGGCATTTCCCTAACCTTTCTTTGTAAACTTCAAGGATTATACCAATGCCATACATTGTTATCATTTGCAGACTGCGTTACCCATTCACCTAGGGGATCATCACGTGGAAGACCTCCGGTTCCCACGTGCAGACTTTCCGGTTCCCATGCCTTAGTCGAATGCCTTGCTTGAGAACGCTGAGCTCGAGAGCCTCTCGGTGGATACCAGGCCCTATAACTGGGGTTCTGCGTCGTCATCCCCACGTTCGTCGGCCTTAGATGTTCGTGTGAGACCTGTCTCAGTAACACCACTGCACGTGTCCAATGACGAGATGTTTTTCTATGGTCCCAGTGCGTCTCAGCAATGACGCTTGGACGATTCAATGTCTTGATTATAATAGGTATATAAGTCGAGATGGATCCAGTACTGTTCGTGTCCGAGGATCCTTGGCAGGACAAAATAGTGGACCGTATTTTACTAGTGATCGTGAATTCTTCGGTTCATTCCCAATGTCAAAATTGAGAGATATTGGCTGATAGTCAGACACAAGGGAGTGCATAATGGGGACCAGAAGCCTATAGACTGTTATGGAACAAAGATTTGTCAAAGGAATCACACGTGCTTGTAGAATAGGGGAAGCTAACCTAACTGGGCCTCCGGTGGATCTTGACTCTACCCACTCATCACCCTTGCTCGCCTCTAACGCGCACTTGTTACCTTTCCATTTTCTCATTCGCTTTTCCTCTTCTTTCAAACGAAACCCCTTTTCGCCCTACAAACCGCATACATTCACTACCTGCTATCATTGTCGCCACTTGTAATCTCGACCTCTCGACTACGAGCAGGCCTACTTTAATCCTAACGACGAGCCTTTCTACGAACCCATTCAATTGGGGCTCATACGATTGTGGTGTGGAACACCCGTATTTCATACCATACCACACTTCTTCCTCACGACCTCATCCAACCCATTCACGATGCCCTCCGGAACGAAACGACCAAGGAAACGGAATCCGCAGACAGCGTCGCCCAGCACACCATCTTCATCACTCCCAGAGAGTCCTGTAGCAGCTTCACCGTTGGTCGGGTCGCCTTCCCTGGGCGGTGTCTTGCACGATATGTTGTTCGAACAGGGAGCAGAGATGGAGAGAGCTTCGCCGAGCAAATATCCCACCCCGCTTCCTGAGGACGAGGACGAGGACGAAGAACGTGATGCCCTTCCCATCCGGATGCGAGCGTTTGAAGCTCCTCCCTTGGTAGCCACGCTATCTGCAGCGACAGATGTGCGACATCCAAGGAGGGAAATTGATCTGGGAAGGGAAGAAACGGACGGAGTTTCGCTTATTGATATGGACAAAGTGGAGGTTGAAGAGATGAGAAAGACTGCTGACTCGCATTCGGCGGTCACTTCCAACGGTGCTATCCCGGCAAGGCGCACGGTTGCTACTTCGCAACCAGTGCAGCGGTCCTCGAAGCCCGACAATCAGACCCTTTACAACTCATCGCGCATGGCCAGCATACCATCACCGGCTTTCCCACCGTCTCAGCCAGCCGGTCATGTTCGGAGCGCCGAACCGCCCAGGTGAGTTGTCTGTACATCCGCATGCATTTGTCCTGTCTATCTTCCCACTCTTCGCCCTCTCCTTGTGACTCATATCCCTGGTTGCCGAGCGCCCATCACGTTCTCTTGTCTTCCCGTATCTTTCCGACGTCCTTATCGTTGATACACATGTCCTGACCCCGTTAACAGGATACCATCATCCAGCGCCGCACCTCGTGCCTTATCGGCGCTCTCCGCGACCCTCCGCGCCGTCCAAGCAGCCACCAGCACGGCGACCGCCTATGCAACATCGACACATGCCCACGCAAACACGGGGGCTTCCATGCCGGGGCCCATGTACTCACCATTACCACCTCAGTGGATCGGTGGCTTCTCTGACCACATCTATCCCGGTGTTACCGAAACGATGCGACGACCGAGTGATGAGGAGGATCGGGTCTTGAATGCTACCTGGGCGGATGTTATGTTCCCCGGCAATAGCGAAGGCACCCGACTTCTTACTCTCGTCTTCGAGGAGGGGGTTCAAATTTGGGATGTGACGGACGTTGCTGATGGATCTGGTGTGCGAGAAGTGCTGAATCTGGATCTTTCACTTTGTCCGTTAGGTGCGGCGGATGGTGAAGGTGCAATGTCGGGCCCTGTGACCAGCGCAGTTGTGCTTCCGCCCATGGCATCATCTGGAGGTCAGATAGACCTGGCCATATTGTGAGTCTTCTGTCCTTGATATAGGCAACAATCCTCATACGACACGACAGGACATCGCACTCGTTATATCTGTACGACGTGATTTCGGGTGTTCTGACTGCATCATATGTGTTCCCGTCACCAGCCCAAGCCACCCTCAGCGACTGGCACGACATGGATTTCACATATGGGAGTCCCACAAGACGCGAGTTGCATGTTGCTTCTCAAAGGATCGGTACACCAGTACGCTTTGAAGTGGGAAGAAAGGGAATAGTGGTTGTGAGTCCATTCTGCACGTCACCGGGACATCGCTTACATCCTTGCCCATCGCAGTCAACGAACTATCCGACCGGGCTGGTGATCCTGTCACGGCCATCGTTGGAGCTGCTGCTGGTCGTTCCAGAGGCAGATCTCGTTATTCCTCGTGCCCCACCGTCATCCACATCAGCGAATAGACGAGCCTCCGTTGCTTCTAGTACATCACCCGGAAGTCCGATCATCTACTCGTCCAGAAGGTCTTCGCATTACTCAGGATCTCCGCCAGCTCCCGAGATATCGTCGAGCTCGCCACCAGCCCAGCAACCCATCTTCGCCATGAACGAACGATTACTGGCCTTCTTAGCTCCCGTTCCTGCAACAATGTCCAGTCCGCCGCTTCATGTGGCCGGCGTGGACCCACCCCCAGCTCTGGAAACGCTGGAGAAGTGGGGCCGCAGCATTGGTCGCTTCTTCTCGCGTAGTGCGCCGGCTGCGGCGGGTGTCGTTGGTGCTCTGGTTGGGAGCCCGAGCTCTACTGCGTCGTCTGCTGCATCGGATCACGAGCCGGTGGAGGAGAACGGCTGCATCCGAGTTCTTGATTTGAGGCATCTGTTTGCAGGAACCGAAGCGAACGCGACCCGAGAAGTGCACGTCTTCCATCCAGGCCGTGCTGCTGTCGGCAAGCTAGCATTCACAGGCGACGGAACGGAGCTAATCGCTGTCCGGCGGGATGGACTCGGGGCTACCGTATGGGGTCTGCGCTCAAATCCGACTGCCCCAGCCAACTACTCAACGTCACCTGCGCATCTCTACACTCTTCACCGTGGCCGAACAGCGGCTTACGTTGAGTCGATTTCCCCGGCGTCCGACGGAAGGTACATCGCGTTGACTACGAAGCGGCGGACGATACATGTGTTTGCGGTCAATCCTGGCGGGGGACAAGTCAGTGGAATTGGGCATGTTCATGGGAGAGGCACTATGATGGGAGATTCCAGTGCTGATGGTCTCGGATTGCATGCTCTTGTTCGGATGAAGCTGCCTCCGCCGAGGAAGGTGACTTCTGAGACTGTTCACGAAGAGGTCCACCTCCTCACTGGAACTGCCTCGACACCGCCACCTCTTGCCGTGACATTCTTACCACAGAAATCAAGCCCAGGCCGCACCAGTCCTCATTCGCCTTCACCTCCTTTCCGTAATCAGCCTCTGCACGGCACACAGGATATGCTCGTCTTTGACCCGCTCGACGGTGTTCTCAGTCTACGGAGGATTACGACCAGCCTCGAGCCGCATCTCGGAGGAATTGATATTGGGCTGGGCTCGATGAAGGTGCCAGTCCCTGTGAGCGTTTCGTTGCCAGCTGCACGAGCCCTGGGTCTCAGTAGCGCGACGAGTGTCAGCGCTAGTCCACCGCTTCCCATCCAGTCGTTTGGTTCGCCGGGTTCATACGCCAGTAGTCATCACCAGCATTCTGCATCGGCTGGATCGGACCTAGGAGAGCTGGTCGGCAAGGAGATGATTGTGGCAACGTGGAGATTGGGACGGAAACGTGGCTGGGACGAGGTACGAAGTGCGGAGCGATTGCTGAAGTCGCGCAGCATCGAGGCCGGCAAGCAAGACGAGTGCGTATTCTTATTAATGATTGGTTGTCTTGGATTGACTTTGTTAGCTGGCTTGCGCAAGCTGAGCTGTCTACATGCCAATATACCCGCCCGATCTACCTTGCGCATCAGTTCTCGTTCTACCGCCTCGGTGAAGACTACCACGCGCTCATTCGACGGTATCAGCTGGGCATCCGCGGCAAGCGCATCCAAATGCGCCGCCCAATCGAGGTCAGCGCCGTCGCGTCCGGAGGAGGAGGGGAAGCTTTTGTCGAGGGATTCGGATACGACTTGCCAACTAACGTTGAGAAACGTCTTCGGACGGAGCGCCGTCAGACCTCAGCCTCGTTCGATGAACCCCTCGCGAGCGCCTTGTCCGGAAGTACACCATACAGTCTGCCGACACAACCCATTCTACCGATGCTCCCCAATGGAGATGGTCGACGACGAGGGATACCGATCAGAGCGGTTACACACGGGCTGGGGGATGGAGTTGCCGGCGGATTGGGCCGTTTGAGGCGGGAGATGAGAACTCAGACGCGAGTCTCCCCTCCGGCAGCCCAATACAATGAAGACATGTTGTCGGTGCCACTCGAGTTCGACGATGAAGATGAGGATTTCGCGGTTCCAGAGGACGATCCATCGCACCTGCAATCGGAGGACCTCTCAAACGTGTCGACCCCCTCGACGGCCATGGCTGAAGTTGAGGAAGCAGAAGATCTGCAGAAAGTTCAAGAGGACGAATCTGCGTTTGGATGGAATGCGGAAGATGCCCAAGCGGTCGAGGAAGCCGAGCGATTCGACACCATCTCGGTCAAGGGTTTTCTTGAAGAGGGAGAGATCGATGCGGCTGCCACAATCGTGCTGCCGAAACGAAAGAAGAAGGCGAAGAAGTGATCCCTTGCGAGGAAGGAAGGCATCTTGCATTGTCATATCTATTTCTACCAAGTATAGCAAATCAAATCTACAACGCAAATGTATAACTATATGTCACTTGTACGTTCAGATGACCGTCTTTCCGTAAGACACCAGAAAGTCATTTTACTGGAGTTCAAGTGAGTAATACGCTCACAGAAGATATGGTAGAGAGTCATACCGATCGTTCGGAGTTTCGCCGGGTGACAATTCTTAGGATTGAACACTATCCAGATTCCAATGCTGACCCATTGAAAGTGGCTGAGCCTGTGGATACCTCGATTTCTGGAGGCGTCGCGCCAGTCCTGGGTCAGGTCCAGTGACGTCAATGTCACCCCGTGACTTCATGCCTCATTCTCCGACCGCATTTCCCGATTCCCGACTTGGACCGGTCAATCCGCATATACCCCGAATCGCCCGGGAAATACTCTATTGCGCGCCCTGGCGCATTCACCGGTGGATGGGACCGCCTGTGCCTGGAACGAAGATGACGACGGGCTTGGCTAGCTATATAATGGGACGATGAGGATGAACCCTGCAACACATCCGAATCTCGATGACTCTTGGACCCACCTCCACCGCTAGCGACGCTGTTGAGGCTCTCTCCTCCCAGATTCAAGGGAAAAACGGTATGCTCCTTGTGCTCTTTTGAGAACTCTATGTGTTGATGCGCCGCTACGTAGTGCTCGTGACGGGCACGACAATCGGTGGCCTCGGTTTCGAAACGGCGCGCTCAATCGCCAAGTACGCGAATCTGGTAATTATTACAGGATATAACGACGCGAGGTGCGTTCGTCCCCCTTGTCCGTTGCTTCCCGCTTCCTGACCCCCGCCCTTGTCACCAGACTGAAGGCTGCAGCGGATGCGATTAAGCAGGAGTTTCCTGGGACGGGTGTCCGCACGCTCAAACTCGATCTGACGTCCTTCGAGGATGTTCGGCGTGCGGCAGCTGAAGTCAACGCGTATGACGAACCGCTACATGCAAGTTCTGCATCAGAACATGTCGTCGATGTCTAACGCTGCGCAGGTCCTCATCCACAACGCCTGTGCCCCGTTTGGGCCTCTGGTGCTCACCCCCGACAAGCTCGAGCGTCAGATGCAGGTCGCGTACATCAGCCCATTCCTCTTCACCAAGCTCGTCAAGGATAAGCTACTCGCGGCGAAGACGGAGACCTACGTACCCCGCGTCGTCGTGCTCGGCAGCTTGGCGCACAAGATGGGCAAGGGTGAGATTAATCTCGATGGGTTGGCTGCTCCCCTGGAAAGTGAATACGACGCGCACGGGAGATATCAGGAGGCCAAGACGGCGGATATCCTGTTCGCTGGAGAGCTCTCCCGGAGGTCCCGCGGTAGCATCTCGGGGACGACTCTGCATCCAGGATGTGAGCATGGTTCTCGTTCCTGTCCACACCACGGGGCCCTGACTAATCGGCAGTGATTCTGACGAAAAACTTCTCGCCGGATTCCGAATCTTGGGACACGCTCAAGGCTCTCGGTATTATGTTAGAAGACGGGTCCGTGAACCCCGCTGTTCCCAAGGAGCTGTTCAAATCCTTGGAGCAGGGTGTTGCGACGTGCGTCTTCTTCCCAACCTCGGTCTCCCGTGTTTTAAATGGCTTGTAGGATCGTCGTCGCTGCTTTCGATCCCAGTCTCGATGGTACAGTACCGGCTCCTCATCTCATACTGCAAATGCTGACACGTGCGCGATAGCGGTCCCCGGTGCCTATCTCGAAGATTGTGTCATCGCGCCGACCAGTCCTGCGGAATTCGCCACCGATCCCGTCAGTGTTCATCTCTCGTGTCTGTTCTGGCCTCTTTTTTCATGCGCTGCAGGTCATCGCAGCCAAGCTGTGGGTCAAGACTGAGGAGATCTTGGGCGAGAAGTTTGTCTTCTGATCGGGGAATACTGATTACATTCGTGCATGTTTTATATACTTATACGGCAGTGTTCGATTCTTTGTTGAGAGAAGCAACTGATAATACTCCACGCTCGAGAGAATTCCATAGACTTCGAAGTGATTGGGAGGAGTGGTAGGTAGTTCACGTTGATTGGGTACAATTCATATGCCTACTTGGTCCGGATTTCCTGACTGAATGCTCAGACTCTGTGCCCTATCCGTGAGCGAAATCAATTGACTTCAGCCAAAATACTAGACGGCGAACTACAAATACTTAAACAGCGCGACTGTGAAGTCAACTGAGAGACGTAAAAGCAAGGTAATACAGTTCCTCCGAGAGCGGATAAGACCAGTGATCCACCGCTTCGAGCCGTGCGAGATCGCGTCGATTTGTTGCGGATGGTCTAGAAGGATTAGAAGCCCTCGATTGTCTGTCTTTATTTCAGGAGCTTTCAGTGCCAGAATATCCCCTGGCTCGATCGTGGCCACCCGGTGCAAGGGCGAGCATCGGCCGAAGTGCGATGCACCCGCTTTCAAGGCACGGTCGACAGACGCTGGAAAGCTTGTGAAAATATCCGATCTTCTGCTCTATGTAGAGCTCGTAAGAGTGCTGATCAACTTGCTGAACTTGAGCACACGGGAGAAAAGAGACTCAAGAGCGAAAAGTCCAGTCCAATCCGGATCAAGCGTTGAATCCCGACTCCCGAGTGTGGCATCCCTTGTGACAGTCAGAACATGTGGAACTGACCTCGTGTGAGACCCGAAGTTTCGAGCTGAGATGATCGGCTCCTAAAAGGAAGTCACGGAACCTCAGACTAACAGCAGGAGGCGAAATGTTTTCCATCCTTACGAAACGCGCGTACTTGGAGCCACAGTATAGAACTGGCCCTCATTCTGTTTTAGAGGTGGGATAAGTACAGTCTTCATTGCCGCGCGAGCCTTCGTGACGAACAGTCCCTATGCCCAGTAGAATTTGACTCGGCACTTCCCGAGGGATGGCAAGGTTTCCCGTTTGGGCACATATTGATGATCGGATGGGGACTGATCAACTCTCCTGTTCCCCTCACTCCTGATACGCTTGCGCACTCATTGGTTTTGGAGATAAAAGCGACTCCGCCGGAACGCATTAGGGCTAGCCATGGTCTTTCGAAATTTGCACGTTTGTCCGAGGTTCGGTCACAATCTCTATTGGCCATGACATGCATGAAGCGCATCGCGACGGTAGGGTGGTATAAATGTCCAATGGGCTGAGATAGAGAAGAGAATCAATCCCGCTGTATTTTTCCTCCACTCCAGCGATGTCCTCCCTTTCTGGTCTCCTCCAATTTTTCGCGGTCGCCGCGCTCGTGTCTGCAGCCCCCTCGCAGACCGACACCGCTAAGCGCGCAACGTGCACGGTGAACAGCGTTGCCAGCGCTTCGGGACTTTCTGGATGCACAAACGTCGTCATCCAGGCATTCACTGTCCCCGCTGATAAAACTATAACTATCGCGGTTCGTGGTCGAGCATCGGTGCTTGACAAGCAGCTTGAGCGTGTTCAATTCTGACAAACGGGCACAGGCAGCTAGCGGCGCCACGGTCACGATGACCGGAGACATTACCTTCGCAAAGACCACTGGTCGTTGATGCTCTCGCTGTCGCACATCGGATTTGTTGACGCGTTCACAGTGAATGGCCCACTCATCACTTTTGACACCCCAAATATCAACTTCAACGGTGGAAACCACCGCATTGACGTGAGCTCCCCAGGTTCTTGCCTGTCTGATACCGTATTCATTTCCATGTTCAGGGCAACGGCGCCTTGTACTGGGATGGACAAGGCACTAACGGAGGGACATTCAAGCCCCACCCCTTCGTCAAGTGCGTGTGCATGCTTTTCATTGCAGGTGGCTGCGCTCAAGTTGTCCAGATTCCGAAACTATGGCACTTTCTCCTCGGTAACGGTGCTCAACTCGCCCGCTCAAGCCGTCTCGGTTGGCACCACCGCCAAATCAACGATCCAGCAGGTTACGATCGACAACTGTGAGCTCTTTTCGCCGCTCGTAGCCTTGTCACTGAGAAAACCCTCTCAGCTGCTGGCAATTCCAAGGGCCACAACACGGACGGCTTCGATATCAGCGCCGACTCTGTCACCGTCTCCCAGTGCAAGGTGATGAATCAGGACGACTGCGTTGCAGTCAACTCTGGCGATGGAGTCGTCATTCAGAACACGACTTGCACCGGCGGACACGGAATCTCGATTGGATCGATCGCGTCGGGCTACTCTGTGACGAACTTCCGCGCGACGGGAAACACGGTCAGCAACAGTAAGTACGGACTGCGCATCAAGGTCGACGCGAACGCATCCAATGCAAAGGTGGCAGGTGCGACGTATTCTGGGTGAGTTTTCTTCTCTCTCTTTGTAAGCTGGAGTCGCCTCACTTAGCTTCATTTCACAGGAACACGCTGTCGGGGATCAGCGACTACGGGATCCTCATCTCGCAGAGCTATCCGACGGAGGATGGAACGAGTGTTGGCACCGGCGTTCCCATCTCGGGTGTCTCGTTCACCAGTGGCAAGACTACGCTGGCTGTGGACGCAGGCGCGTTCTCCGTTGTCGTGAACTGCGGTGCCTGCTCTGGTGCATGGGACTGGTCAGCACTCGATGTTACTGCGGCAGGAAAAGGTCACAAGCTCTCTGTCGACAAGGCCAAGGTTCTTCTGTTTCCCCTTCCATCCTGGAGCTTTGACTGATCTATCCTGCAGATATCTGGCGGTGTTTATTAGTTTTGGCTTCTTCACTACGTGGAACCCTGGAATGAAAGATAATGTAAGATCTTGTGACCCAAGCCTCACCGGACTGTCGATGATTCTGTCGTCAACCAGAAACGACCTATCGATTCACGTTCTCACCCGTGTTCCATCGTTGACGCATAAGAGACTGCTAATCGATGCAACTTCGGCGCTGTCGTCCGGAGGATGCCAAGCGACATGGGAAAGGTGATGATCTGTGATGATCATGCGTGCGCGTGAGCCGGTCCAATCGTGGCTGCGCGGCTATACCCGGCCCGGATCGCGGCAGTTTCTGTCCCCCACAATGTCTCCATTTGGTGAGATCTTGCCCGCACGTGTGTTCCGCTTCCAATGGACCGACGAAGTAGACAGCAGAGATCTGTCTATCCCTGGATCCGCAGCGTCTTCGTCTCCCACTCACGGCCTGGACTTTACACTCGACTCATTACGTGGTGCTGTTAAACTATTTTGGTACATCCATTGTCCAGGATCGGCAGTTGCTTTTTCGGGTCACGGAAAGCTGACCAGGCTACCCAATATGACCCTAGCACGCGATAAATTTGAGAGGCAAACACCGTGGATTGGGAGAGGGGTTCTCAACGATACGTGCGAACTTGCGGAGCAAAAGAGCGTTTGAAGAAGAAAAGTTTTCAGCCGACCATGAGCCGACCGGTCCACCCAGAACCATTCCGTCGTATTTTGGATCCCCGTATCCGATTTGGATCGAACCCCGAACCTCCATGGGAAACGCCCCCGGTTTCAGGCTGCAGCCCGTGAGAGGCAATTGCACATCCAGATCTTAGTATTGAGGAGCACATATTTGTATACCACCCCCCCGGACGTTTCCAATCGTGAATGTATCTCCAATTGTCTGACTTTGGTTTGCCCATCGGCAGAGATTGAGATTGCTTGAAAGCTCCCTCTTGATGTCTATTCTGGGCTATTTAATCTTGGAGCCAATAGGTGCAAGTCAGAATCTGTGCGTTGGATCAGATATTCTCTGATGTGTCGTCGACTTTCAACGCGATCCCGTGACTTGCATTACGATGAGCTCCTTGTAGGCCGCACACGAATCTTCTTCGTCTTCTGATGCTATCTGGTGGTCTCGGTCAGAAGGCATATCTCGGGCAGGATATTTTCATACTTCATCTTGAGATTTCTCCGGCAAACTATACTTATCTTTATCGCATCATCTTGTCATGCATTTTCCTCATCGATTCAAGCAAACGCTCTCGATACGGATGTACGCGTCTCAGTGAGTAAGTCCCCGTACCCTTTGAGGTCCCCGAACTCGATCGAACGCCTTGATTTGGAGTTTTTCCCAGCGAATCGGTCGTGGAAACATCTGCCCGAGGCAGGCCCGATGACCGAAGTCACATTGCGGCGACTGCCATCTAGCATCCTGTCCCAAATGGATGAGGTCTTCTTCGAAGCGGGAAATCAACATTTATAAGGAACGCACCCTGTGCGAACAAGAACCAGGCTCTCTGCTGCAGGTCCCAATGGCTCATGGCTCTTTTTTCCTCCCGAAGCTCGATGCTTCCCAGAACCTAGGTCGCATCTACGACTTCATTCTAGATAGCAAGAGCACACGCGTCGCATATTCTTTCGCTGCAGAAGAGAGTGACGAGTGCACCGACATCACCCAGACTGAGTTGGTGCGCGCGGCATGTCGTGCAGCTCACATACTCCGTCCTGCGAAACAGGGGGCGGACAAGCAGATTGTTGCCATCCTCGCACTTTCAGATGTCCTGATCTACCAGGCGGTTATCATCGGATGCATTCGCAGCGGTCTCATCGTGAGTTTATCGATCAGATACTGAAATTGATTACAAGTACTGCACAGCCATTCCCCATTTCTCATCGCAACTCGCCAGCTGCCATCGTGCACTTGATCAAAGCGACTGGCGCTCATCGTATCCTCACGACTCATGCATCCTACGGTCATGTCATTGAAACCCTTTGCGCCGACATTGCCGCCCAAGATCCCACGTACGAGCTTTCCGTCGAGGAAATGCCCAGCTTGGGTGCCCTCTTCCCACGGCTTGGACGCGAGTGCCAAGAAGATGCATTTACTCCCTACCCCACCCTGACGTCCCCGAGCACGGACACTGCGCTCATCCTGCACTCCAGCGGGAGCACTGGCTTCCCCAAGCCGATTCCTCTGTCACATAGAGCTCTCATCGAGACCGTCTCTTTCGGTTTGTTTCGCACTCTGTGGGCTTCACACACTGACCCGACCCGACAGGATCACTCAAGTCCCTAACAGATGAAGCTTCACGCATCGCGGTCGGCCACCTGCCGCCATTCCACACCATGGGAAACCTCTTACAGCACCTTCTTCCCGTCCTAATTGGCGCTACGGCGTGCATTTTCCCACCCGCATCGTCTGCAACGGAGTATAGAATCCCACCGGCTGCGACATCCGATTTGGCTCTTCGCGAGTCCCAGCGGGCGCATGCGACTTGTATCATGACCGTCCCATCCTTCGTCCTGGAGTGGGCTCGCAACGCAGAAGACGTCCAGTATCTCAAGACTCTGGACCTTGTGGTACGTTTTCGTACGGAAGCTCGACTTCCTTGGTGACCGTAATCTTCAGGCGTTTGCTGGCGGACCGCTATCACTCAAAGTCGGTGATGCTCTGATTGCCCAGGGGGTCAATGCGGTCAATATCTACGGTTCCACAGAGGGTAAACATTCCGCTTGCACATCCAGCCTCTTGTCTGAACACGTCGAAGGTGGTGTTGCCTCTGTCGTCGGGGAGCGATGTTCACCGGACTGGTCATGGTTCAAGTTCCCGGAATCGAGGGTGAACATCCGCTGGGTCCCGCAGGGAGATGGATCGTACGAGATGCAGTTTTTGGTGTGTATATGCTAAATCCGCTATACCCGATGCGTTCAAACTGGGATCACAGACTGTCGACACACACCACCCAGCGCTCGAGAACCTGCCAGACGTCCGAGGGTACGCGACCAGTGACCTATTTGAGCGTCATCCCACGCGAGCCGACCTCTTCCGTATCATTGGTCGTGCCGACGATGTGATCATCATGGCCAACGGTGAGAAAGCCGTCCCTGGCCCCATGGAGGATATAATCACCGCGAACCGCAATGTCTCCGGGGCTGTCATGTTTGGGCGAGAGCGGAACCAAGTCGGTGTCATCGTTGAGCCGAGCATGAGCTGTCGCGTGGATGTTAAGGACGAAGTGGAGCTTGCAAGGTTCCGGAATTTGATCTGGTAAGCGTCAGCCATGCTGGAATGTGAGATTGGCTCCAACTGTCGCTTAGGGACTCGGTCCAAGAAGCCAACGAGCAGGCACCTGCGTTCGCCAGAATCTACAAAGAAATGATTATCGTCACAGGTTCTGAGAGGCCGATGATCCGAGCGGCGAAGGGCACTATCATCAAGAAACCCACGGTGCTTATGTACCAGCCGGATATAGATGCTTTGTGGGTAAACTTCAAAACTGGCCGACATCTACTGACGGTATCAGATATGACGCAGTCGAAGCGAGTTCCAGTGCGGCGGCCGATATCTCCCCACCAACGTCCTGGACCACGGAATCGCTCATTCCCTGGCTCCGAATGCAAGCCACGGCGCTCTCAGACAAAGAAATCGACGTCGGCACAGATCTGTTCGACCAGGGCTTCGATAGTCTGAACGCAACGTTCTTGCGCCACCGCATCGTCGCCATTTTGAAGACGAATCCAGCAGCAGCCAAAGCGGTGGAGCAGAACTTAATATATGCGCACCCAACAATCGTCAGCCTAGCTGCGGCCATATCTAGTCTGATTTCGGCCGGGTCAGTGACTGCTGCGGATCCCAAGGCCGAGATCGAAGCCATGATACAGAAGTACTCCGTGGGACTGGATCGTGGATCTGTGCGGAATGCGAAGAAGGCACCGGCGGATGGAGACGTGGTATTGATCACTGGATCGACGGGAGGCCTGGGCTCGCATCTGCTTGCAGTCCTCGTCGGCGCAGCGTCGGTTCGACAGATCTATGCGTTCAATCGCCACAGTCCTCGTGCTTCCTCATCAGAGCGACAGAGGGAAGCTTTCCGCGATCGTGGATTCAACGAAGCCTTGCTTGCTTCTGAGAAGATTGTGTATCTGGAGGGCAGCACATGGGAGGAGAACCTCGGATTAGGCCGAGACATCTACGAGCAGGTGCCTTCTTTGCTGTGTTTCGCTGGACTGATGCTGACTAACATTCAGCTATGCTGCAGTGTCAGTGTGATCATCCACAACGCGTGGACGCTGGACTTCAACAAGAGTCTCGTCTCATTCGAGCCCCACATCCGTGGGACGCGTAACTTGGTCGACCTCGCAATCGGATCCGGAAACGCGCGATTCCTTTTCACATCCTCAATTGCTTCTGCAAAGAGCTGGGACCCCAAACTGGGACCATTCCCTGAAGAGGTGCAGCTTGATGCAAGTATTGCTGTCGGGAACGGGTACGGAGAGGGCAAATACGTCTCTGAGAGGGTACGTTGACGGAACCATCCGGACATGGGCTTACTTGGATAGATAATACACGCATCGGGACTCGACGCGACGTCCTTCCGAATCGGACAAGTGTGCGGATCACAATCGAATGGAGCCTGGGCCACGACAGACTGGGTCCCGGCGCTCGTCAAATCGAGTATTGCTTTGCGATGTCTGCCTTCCGATCCAGACGGAACGAACGCCTGGATCTCGCCCGAAGCCGTTGCGGAAAGTATCGTGGAGTTAGCTCTGCGTGTGGAACCCCCTCCGTTTTCGATCAATCTCGTCCATCCGCATGCCGTTTCGTGGGATTCAGTCATGAACTGGATCGCGCAAATGCTGGATCTGCCGCTTGTGTCGTTTGAAAACTGGGTGGCGGCTCTGGAAAAGAGCGCCATTGGTGCCGGTGCTGCAGAGTTCGAGCGCATTGTGGGTGCTCTCGTTAGCCTAGTGGAACCCGCGCTGATCGTACCTAGCCGGCGCTGAAGTTGATTGACTTTTTCAAGTCAGCCGAGACAGCTGGACAGTTCTCGACCACAAAGGCTCAATGCCTGGACTCAATGCGTAATTTGCCGCAGATCTCACCAGAAGAAGCGAAGAAATGGCTTAGCTACTGGCGCGGAAAGGGCTATCTCCCCGCCGAATGACCGCAGCGGACAAACATAGATCAGAACGGCATGTACACATTGAAGCGAGACTGACAGTGAACTCGAATCACGAGCTGATAGTGTGAATTCTTGTTGAAGAATAATTGATAATAGAGGATATTGCAATCATGCTCAACATTCGGTCGAGACATCACATCGGAGGAAGCGCTCCGCCGCCCGCCTAGCTCCATCCACAGAGCATGGCTCTTGCAGATTGTGTGCAGGAGTCCCAAGGCTGGGGGCTTAAGTCCCCCTAGTGGGCTATGAAGGCGCCAACCATGGCTTTTGCATTATCTTCATTCGATGCTCACAAAGCGGAGAGTTTGCACGTGACCCACTCCCGATGAGTGTGACGCGACGGCTGTCAGCGTGACGTGCCTTTCCGATGCCTCTTGTTGTCAAATGCCTTATGTCCTCTGTATCGCTTGCGCACACACCTTCCCATCCCTCAGTGATTCAGACGTAGAACATGGGGCATGTGATAAGCCGTGTGCGGCGAAGTCTCGAAGTAAGTTGAACGCTATTCAAAGAGTAAAGCGGGAATGGGCATGTCATTTGCATTTGACATCCGGCAACTTGGTCCCTTTCCCGGGGCTCTCCTTCCTTGCTGAAATGCCAGGAAGAGGAAGCGAGATCTGTCTTGGACCCACTAGTTTGTCCCTGACTCCGACGCATGCCGCTGACCCTTCCCACATCTCGACTGAGTTGGGGAAGCGATTAGTAATTATCAGCAAGTATGGTAGATACAAATGCTCATTCTGATGGCCAGATGCAATAGATTCTTCGGAGGTCATGAAGACAAAGCCTTACTCCCCCCTTGATTGTTGATTCGAATACAACCAGAGGATCAAGCCAATCAGCCGTTAACGAATGACCATTCCAGATGATAAGGATTTATGTATGTATCATGTACACGTTCGCTTCGAAGAAGAACTTGTTCCGAATTCGATTTTTCCTGAAATGACCCAGCCAAAACCGCCCGTGCATGGTCATCCTTGCACGATCGTCCTTGATAGAGATCAGCAAGTAACTTGTTCGTTGCGAGAGGAATGTTTGTGACTTCACACCGGGTGTGTGAGGGGAACATAACATCGAAATGTCACTTGCGAATGGGACACGGAGTAGGCGCCTAACAAGATGCTCAGCTTCGCACGTTACGCATGCCGTCATGGTGTCGGACGCGCCTGTCCGGAAACTGTTGATCTGGATCCTTACTTCCCACGGTTGTTCTCAATCTGGTATAGCTCGTACGCCAGGATCCCGCTCGAGATTTTGGATCATATAAAGAACAAAAAGTCCGAAAAGTGGAGGGTTAACGTAGAAAACAACTGCGGCAGGCCGTGCTTTATGCTGAGGAATTACTGCCCCCTCTCTCAGCGAGATCGGCATTTTGAACCATTGTTCGGATGTGATCCATTACAACATGTCCACCAGCCAGACGAACTAGAGATTGAACTGAAGATTGAGTTTTGAGTCAGTATAGGGCAGTTGCAGACATCCTGCCACGTGCTCAGCCTCGGTATCAGAGGAGTCAATATGACACCAATGAAGGCGGCTCGAGGAGCCCAGCGATCAGACAATTATGATCTGAAAGTCTCTCACTCTGGACGGGAAATGAAATAGAATCTGAGTCGTTTGATTATTCATTGTAGCTTGGATATGCAGTAATATGAGCCATAGACTAATCTAGCTAGTAGGTACCTCCTGAGATCTGTGAAAACACATCAGCCGAATGCGAGGCCTAGCAGCGATGAAGGGACGAACCTTAGCCTGGTCGACGGACAGCTTGTGGCCTTGGCCGGCGGAAGTGACGTCGAGTTCGGACCAGTCCCAGGTACCGGTGCAGGCGCCACAGTTCACCACAACGGAGAACGCGCTAGAGTCAACAGCGAGAGTAGTCTTTGCACCGGTGAATGCGACACCCGAAATGGGAGCGCCGGTACCGACGGTCGAGCCGTCCTCGGTTGGGTAGCTCTGCGAAATGAGGATTCCGTAGTCGCTGATTCCAGAAATCGTGTTGCTGTGAAATGACGGTAGGTCAGCAGGTTCTAAGTTTTCAAGCATTTGCACTCACCCAGAGTAAGTCGCACCAGACACCTTCGCACCAGACGCGTTCGCGTCGACCTTGATGCGCAGACCGTACTTGCTGTTGCTGACCGTGTTACCCGTCGCGCGGAAGTTCGTCACCGACTTGCCCGTTGCAATTGATCCGATCGAGATTCCGTGACCGCCAGTGCAGGTCGTATTCTCGATCGTCACGCTGTCGCCCGAGTTGACGGCGACGCAGTCGTCCTGGTTCATCACCTTGCTGTTGGTGATCGTCACACCTGATGCGCTGATGTCAAACCCGTCGGTGTTGTGGCCGAGGGAATCGCCGGCAGCTGGGACAGTTATGTCAACGTTCATGCTTAGAATCCTGGAAGATCTTACAGTTGTCAACTGTGACCTGCTCAATGGTCGACGTAGCCGTGGTGCCAACCGAGATGGCCTGGGCTGGCGAGTTTAGAACCGTCACCGAGGAGAATGTGCCGTATCCTTGGAATCTGGAATATATCAGCACGTTCATTGGAGTCAACGATCGCCAGGAATACGCACTTGACGAAAGGATGAGGTTTGAACGACCCTCCGTTGGTGCCTTGGCCATCCCAGTAAAGAGCGCCGTTGCCCTATACTTGAGCATCAGAACTATCGAGAATAAAATGATCTTATAGACTCACGTCGATGCGGTGGCTTCCACCGTTGAAGTTGATGTTCGGGGTGTTGAACGTGATCAGCGGGCCACTCACTGCGCACGCGTCAGCAAATAAGATCTGTGAGCCAGGGAGCGCAACAAACCAGTGGTCTTCGCAAATGTGATGTCGCCAGTCATCGTGACAGTGGCACCGCTTGCCGCCTGCAGTGATGGTCAGAATGTGCTGCGCGTTCAACCGTACAAGTCGCAGAGACACCCACTGCAATCGTGACCGTCTGGCCGGCGGGAACAGTAAACGCCTCGATCACAACGTTCGTGCAGCTCGAGAGACCAGACGCGCTGGCGACGCTGTTGACCGTGCAGGTGGCGCGCTTGGCGGTATCGGTCTGCGAAGGCGCCGCTGATACAAATGTGGCGAGTACCACAAAGCTGAGGAGGCTGGAGAAGGAAGGCATTGCTGAGATTGAGAGAAGAATTGAGTTGTCTGAATCGGTGCTTTCTCTGCTCAGCCTACCGAGTTTTTATACAGTCTTGCTGATCTAGGTCCTACGCAATGCTTTTGTCAGGCTGGTGTAGTCAATAGGCACCGTACCCGCATCTCGCACAGATTCTCAAGGGTGGGAGAACGATCGTTTGACGCGGGCTGGGTCGGCGGTGACGCGAGGGCCGGCCCATCAGGCCTTTGAAGCCCAAATGGTTGAGGACAGAAGGGAAAGAAGCATTGATTCGGTATCATCCGATCATCAATATTGCAAGACTGCGATTAGTCACTGTAGTCTGATTTTTCCATACGATCAACTTAGAGACAGAAGTACAAATACTTTTTATATAATGGGTGCGACGTTCGGTGAGACTATGAATGCTTCTCGAGTCAAGCTCTGCAATCAATGCATCCATTGATGATGGCTCGTCAGGGAACTCATGGGAACAGGGACTAGGCCAAAGCTCCCGTTGAAACTCATTCCTCTCTGCAGTTTCTGTTCCACCAGTAGCTTTGGACCTGCCCGTGGCCGTGAAGTGATGCTTGACAACTCAAGATCTTGTTTCGGTCAAGATTCTGGCTCAGAATTGATCTCGATGACGGGGAAAAGTTTAGGGCGGGAGTCTGAGCCCCAGCGGTCCAAGATGATGCTGCATATGATGTTTGAATGAGGCGATTCTTCACCGTCATCAAGTTTCCAGGATTTTGATCTAATCATGACTAATTGTTAGCTTGGATGCCCATGTCGGGGCTGATACCCGGTAAATACCAGCAGGATACCTTATGTTCCATGACACACCGAAATTGAAAAGTTTAGCAGACACCGGAAAATCCCGATTCCAGAGCATTTTAGCGTGCCGAGATTGATCGTTATAGTAGAGCAGTCAATCTGTGCTTCTCATAATCCTCTCGGAAAATAAAGGAATGACATCCGAGGTCATTGCCAGAGGTCATAATGGATCATTACGCGGTTCTGCAGCGTGCTCTTCTCCAGGCCCTGGGTCCTCGTGTCAGATTCTACCTAAATAAATCTTTCTGATTACGAGTTCAAATCCGCTCAGAATTTGGCGTAAAGCCTCAGACTTTTGGCACTCGCAGGATATAGGGTTATTTGCCTGAAGAAGTCGATATAAAGACAATGGTCTCTGTGAGCTGTTTCTTTTCTCAGTATTCAATCGATTTCAGCACTGGGGCTTTTCCAAAAATTCTCTTTGACACTGTTGTCATGCTGTCAGCCAGTCAGCACTCTTACAAAAACGAATCGCCAGCGTCTAGAGAAGCACAACAGGCTTGAGCCGATTCTCGCACTTTCATTGTTTTTATCATGGTCGAGCTACAGTGGTCCGCATGCGGCCCCATGCCCGAAATAGAATCAGGTACCTAAGGGTTTCTCTTTCTCATTGAGTCTCAAAGCAACACTTTGATCAATGTTCCTTGCTCGAGTTGTGAAAATGTTTCGAGAGAGCGAGATCTGTTGCAAAAAAAATCGTCCCCACTGGGATGAAGTTGTTGATTGGACGGTAGTTGCTATTATTTTTCGCTTGAGACTTGACGGGTAACTGCCCGAGTCTGATGAATCTAGGCGATTACTATCACAACTTGAGCCTGGGTCCGGAGCCTCAATGTCCGACCCATCCTACCCACTTACCATTGCCGCTTGGGGCAAAAAAAAACATTCTTCCGCAATAACCCGATCCTTCCGCGCGTCCTTCGACTCCGCCAGCTCCACGAGCACAAGATGAACAGCATGGACTGACGAAGCACATACGAGCAGTCGCGAGAGGGCAAGTAAAGATTCGAGGAGAGCCAAATATTACCCTCCGGAATCGCAGAATTTGTTGCAGAAGGCATGGAGGCGTGTTCATCAGTGACTAAGTTTCGTTGCCTCGAATTTGTGTAGCCACTCCACCGCATAGTATTCCAGACGGCGCTCATGAGGAAGATGACGCCGAATCAAATTTTGTCGGTTGAAGGGACACAGCGACACGGCTCAATGCAGAGTGAATTTGAATGACCCTAAGCCCTGCCCTCGGCGCGAGCTCTGCCTGCGTGGAGTCCTGGAGGCATTGCATTTGTAGCGATTTGCTCTGGCTAGCGGGTTGTATGTAGCTCAAAACCTTATTGTGGGGAGGAGATTTGAAAAGAACGTTACAAGCAGAGTTCCCGCTAGACTAGAGTGGAACATGGGCACGGAGCTTGCCGCACAAAATGGGCGCTTTGTGGTGTGTTGCCGTCGGCTACGAGCTGAGCGAAGCGATGTCATGGCCTCGTCTCAACTCCATGTGTCGATCTGATCCAAGTTTTCAATTGAGGTCGAGTCGGACCGTGACGTTTGCAGATTGCCGTGAACGTCCCAGAACGAACCCGCCTGAACTGGCTCACGCGGTGTGACAATTCCCGAATTCGCCGGGTCGTCTGCTGAAGTCACATCGGGATTCGACGGACCTTTCGGAATATCGGGATGGCTCGTTATGATTTGTGTTTTTTCAGTTTCCGGGAAACAGAGCTCAAGACGGAAAAGAGTTGATCACGATGCACATTGAACAGGACTCGAATCTAAACTTAGAATCAGGATCAAAATCAATCATTGATCTGATCTCTGCTCTAACGTATCTCGTCTCTCACAGCCATGCCCAAAACTTCAACCGCGCTCGAAGATCCGAAAGCCCTAATCGAAAGAGGATATGATATAGCGGCTGACGAGTACCTCGCATGGTGCGTACGCTCCATAACTAGCTCTTTCCAGGCATGCAACTCGACATCGCAGGGCCGGACCGCGACCGACGACCAAACGCATGCGCCTGATCGATGACCTCCTGACTAAAACCCCGCAGACGCCAGCGTTCTCGAGCTTGGCTGTGGGGCCGGTGTGCCCGCCACTCAACTTCTCGTCGAGCGCGGCTTGTCCGTTACGGGCAACGATATTTCCGCTGCCCAGATCGAGCTTGCGAGGAAACACGTGCCGGGCGCCAAGGCGCTCATCCAGGGCGATATGCTCGAGCTGGAATTTCCCGAAGGCAGCTTCGATGTGGTGCTCGCGTTCTATTCGATCTTTCACTTGCCGAAGGAGGAGCAAGCGCTGATGGTGGAGAAGATCAAAGGGTGGCTCAAGCCGGGTGGATGGATTCTGTGTAATTTTCAGTTTGAGGGAAAGGATATCACGCGGGAGGGCTGGTTCAAGCCGGAAGTGGTGATGTTTTCCAGCGGGCTCGGTGTCGAAGGGACTCGCGAGATGTTCACTCAGGTCGGCGGTTATGAGCTGGTCGTAGATGAAGTAGATATCGAAAAAGTGGGACGCTTCGAGGAGAAATTCCATTGGATCATGGCTAAGAAGAAGTTGACAGAGTAGAATGGATTGGAATGTATGGGTTCAGGAATCGCTTGTGCACCCAATATTTGTCACTGTTAACATCACACCCAGTCTGATGTCGAGTGCATTGATCGATTTTCACTTCCCATGATGCAAACCAACACTTGATCGAAATACTAGCAGTCACGGTACTGGAAGTTCATCGACTGAAGGCGACGTGTTGTGTATGGTTTATATCAGCGTCTTCGTGAGTCGCCATCTGTATTGCTCCTATGACCTTCCTTTTCCAACTGTTTCTCCTCAGAGGCGACACGACATTCATTATTACGCTTGCTGTAGTTGTTGAAGTGATGGTTGACGACGACGACGGCGGCTCTATAGGTCTAGGTCTGGTCCATCAGATATCATACTCGACCACATGAATGACGATTGAATCCACGTTGCACCGTTCGCAGGCCTTCAGTTTCTGTCGCTTGCCACCAATGCTGGGATCATCATGGGCATGTCAGTGCTGGCGCTAAAGGGAAGCCGGACTGAGACAACAGCTGAATTCAGATCAGGTACGGGCAGCCCGGCTTGCGCTTTTTTGAGTCTCCACGATTCAGGTTCCGTGGCACTGGACTTCTCCGACGGCGACTTGGATTTCGCGGTATGCCATCATCTCGGCATCATCCGACAGGAACTAGACCACAACTGGGCGCGGCAAATTGTTTTTCGCGCCCTTGTGAAAAGCACCTCGCAGGTATACGATAGACCCAGGGACCGTGGACAGAATTGGTGCAGCTCTGGTGCCGCTACTGCCAGTGGTAACGATGTTGAGGTGGTTTTATAGCCGATTCAGCTGCACACAGCGGCCAGAGTAATAGACCGGACAATGTCTCAAATGCGTGAGGCAATCCGGGCAAGGGCATCATCCCACGCCAGAGTCTAATTCGCTGATGTGCGCTAGCGGATACACCCAGGCCATAAGCCCGATCGCCATCAGGAACGCTTCTCTGCGTGATGTGCGAGAGATTCTGATTGTGTGGGCGCTAGTTCTGTTGCGGTCATTCTCCGATCGTCGTCGTCGTTTTCGTCGTGTGGACGCGCGCGCCACAAGAGCGAATATTCAAGATGGAACGTTCGTGCGGTGTAAGAACGAATATCTATCCCTACGTGTGGTTCATACGCAGCACGTCGGATGCCCTCGCATGCCTAAGCGCGCTCAAGTTCGCCTACGCGCTCCCTCCGTTCTTCCGTACGCGTGGGCCTTGTCGCCGATATGCCCGACGGTAGTGTTTGCGGTTGTCGTCCGGCTCCGGCGTCCCGGGCAGCTGGGAAATTTTGAATGTGGCTGCTAGCCGACGATCGGACCTCGTTGGACGCGCAACATCAATCTCCGGAGGACGTGCAACCCCGTTTTGAGACAAGTTCTCAGCGGTTCCGAAATCTAAGTCTAGCCCAGTCTCCGGACGGGAAACCGCTCGATTGGCCGGCTCAGATTTCCCCGAAAGGGATGCATATGACTATGTCTGTGTTCCCGGTTAAATTGGCCCTGCATTCAACGCCTGCGCGAGTTTAGAGCAAATTTAGATACTTTCCCACGCCGAGCGAGTAGACTTCATGGACATGCCAGTCCCTGTATGTATCTTCTTCAAACCAGCGCTGTTCGGGCATTTGCAATTAGCCTCGCGACTTGTGCTAAAATAAATTAACAAAATCCAACTTTGTCGTCTTGTCAATGGATCGCAAGGTGCCCAAGTTTTGAATGACCGTGAAGGAACTCGAACTCCCAAACCCACAGGCTTGAAAGAACAAGGACCTCAGCAACAGGAAAAACTGAGTCCGCGTTGGCACAGCTGCCTCGGGAATTATCTCGAGCCCTAGTTCAAGCTCGAGCTCCGTGCCGCTCAAGTTCTAGGTCCTAAACCTGCCAGCCTTCAAAAAAAGAAATGCAACTCAAATGGTCGAGAAATCCATGCGTTCTAAGCGACTATCTCTTTGAGCGGGTTCTGCCATAGGTCCATTATCAAACTTGAGACTGCTTCCCAAGCAGTGGCAGGCCCAGGACAATGACGACAGCTTGAAGGCTTCGGAGCCGATCGGGAAGACACCGGCCAGATGCTGTGCGTATGCTGCCCAGGACCCGGCCATCTAAGATCTGCCAGCAGTCGCCCTCAATCCCAGGGCTTGTCCCAGGCGCTGGGAGACATCGCCCCCCGAAAACGAATGACTGTCAGCTTGTTCACGAAATCTCGAAGGAAGCGGTGCTCAAGTCTGAATTCGACCACAAGTCCCCAATACTTAAGGTCTTCGTTGCGTAAGCATAGGCACCCTTTGGTCCAACAGGCCATGTTTCCCAGATGATCCAAATTTATTCCATCCAATGCACGTATCTGTGTATGCGATTCGCGGTGTAATGTAAGTTACTAGACAAGGGAAGGTAGGCTAGTTAGGAGATGCTTGTAGGGTAGATTGGAGAAAACGAATGTAGGTGGACGACAACAGCAGCGGCGGCAGCAGAAAGAGGTGGCAAACAACAACAACAACAGAAGCACGGCGCCAAATCCAGAGTGACGGGAAACAAAACCATGTAAATATAATCCGGCCTGAAAGAGAGGGAGAGGAAGAGCGGGTATGCAGAGAGCCAAAGAAATTAGGACTTAAACCCGCCCGACAAAGTCCTTGTGGACCCGCATATGCTGGCCCAGGTTGTCGTGTCTCGAAAAGTCCTTGCCGCAGCCCGGATAGGGACATTTGTGCGCTACAGACGATGTCAGCCAAAGGAAGGAGCAGGGGAGAAAGAAAAGACGAAGAAACACGCACGCTTTTCATATGTGTGAATACTCCTGACGTGTCTCTTCAAATGCTCGCCACGCGCGAAGCACTTCCCGCAGCCCGGCACCTTGCAAGTGTACAATCGCGCCTGCCCGGCCTTGCTTGGAGCCCGGCCGCTCATCCCACCGACCCCGTAGAGATTCGCGACGGTCGGCACACGGCGACCACGACTCTTTTTAGTCAGATTCGGCACCGGGACGGGGATCGGTAGAGCAGTGCTCGGTCGGGCACGGCGACGCTGAGGAGGCATCGGCATTGAGGGGACAGTCGGCGCGTCGAAGTTATACGAGTAAGGGTACCCATTGTCTGATGTCTTGGTAAGCCGGGTAAAAGCATATCCAGAAAGACGCGCACGAACCGTACTGCGCATAGTCGTATGGATATCCGCCACTTCCCGATGTCGAGGTGCTCGGACTCGGGCTGTATGCGTACGGCTGGTATCGCTTATTGCTGGCTCCAGCCCTCCGCCGGTATCCGGGTGGAAGAAATTCACCATCGTCGCTATCGCTCCCGTTGTCGACGTACTCCGAATCGCCATCTCCATCCTGATCTTGTTCCGACACGACCTCATCTTCACCCTCGTCCTGTGGAGATGCGGACCTGTCGAGCGACACCACGCTGCGTAATGGGCTATTCTGCGGCTGCGGATAATGCTGGCTCCCGTTCCCTGAAGAAGGACTCTGGCTATGACGTTCCCGGGGGGAAAGCGACAGCGAGACGCTCGACGACGGTGACGTCGGTACGGGTGTGCTCAACACGTATCGCGGGTCTACTGACGTCGAGGACAATGGGGATGGTGGATTCGTTGTGGACGCAGACGCAGGGGGCGGAAACGTCGGTGAATAAGACCCGGAGGAGAATGTTGCAGGATTTGGCGATGGGTTACTATAGGCTGATGCTGACGACGCACTGTACGCTGAGGACACAGAATCAGAGTGTGCCCGGCCGCCGACAAATGGCTGCGGATGAGTATATGCGGATGCGGGCGCCGACGCGGTCGAGTACACGGACGATATGGAGTCGGCGTGCGGTCGACCAACGTACGGAGTCGAAGAGGACGATGCCGTCGTCAGTGCAGAGTGCGACTGTGAATGCGAGAGTGCCGGTGTGCCCGGATGTGAGTTGTGCTGGTGATGATGATGTGAGGAGAGAGCAAGAGGATGTGATCCGTGTTCCCACGACACAGGCGAAGTCGGAGAGGTGGGTGACTGCGGAGGGTGGGGGTGTCCATCGTACTAGAAGGTAGAATCAGTAAAAGGGAAAGAGAGCGGAGCCTGGTAGAAGGTGCGAAGCAGAATCTTCGGTGCCGCGACTCACTCCGCCATGGTACCCAAAAATCGCTCCCGCACTGTAACTCCGCTGCACACCGGATGCTGCATACAGACTTTGATGTTGCGAGGGGGGGATATCGAGCTGGCGTTCCGTCAGACTGACCAATAGAATCTGGGGAGATAAAACGCACCTGGGGGCCCATATACGCAGCGGACGAAGAATAATAGCCCGACCCAATCGTGCCGTACTGCTGCTGCTGAGGCGTCGGGGGCAGGAGCGACCCGACCAATGACTTTTTCCGCTCAGGCCAGTGATACAAGAACGGCTGGGGCAAGGGCTGCTCGTCCCTGTGCGCGTACATCTGCGCCATAGACATCGGATGAGCAGAGGGAGACGGCGTCAGGTCAAACACATCGTCCAACGGCGAACGCAGTGAATGCGAATCAGACGCGGAGCTGCTGATACTGAAGTCGGTGTAGGTGGGGGAAACGGGGGAGGAGAGCCCGGAGGCAGAGGCGGAAGCGGAATTCGACGCGGAAGTCGTCATCGTCGTTGTCCTGCTGGAGCGCGAGGCCGATGTATGGTGTTGGTGCTGCTGGTGCTGGTGCTGCTGAATGCGTTGGGATTGCGAGTGTGTCCTCGCTCGCGGATCCAAGTTCCGGTGCGTTGAGAAGGGAACGGGGAGGGGTGCCGGTGCAGCGAGGGGCCTGTGCATTTGAGGCATGCGCAGGTTTTAATTAAAATAACACAGCTTGGGTTATGTCAGGAGACGGAGGAGGGTGGGATGGAAAAGGCGGGTGTGATCGAGGATGGATCGAGCGGGTGAATTGAGTTGCGGTGGGGACCTGAGCGACGACGACGGTAGACGGCGATGAGAGCGATGAGTGCAAGGGAGCACAGCAGGGCGACGAGCCAAGATGTTGTAGCCGAAGGACGCGTCAAGCAAGCAAAAGACCTCGCGTCGCTTGCAGCTTCAAGTACTTGTCGCGTTGTTGTTGTTGTTGTCCCACCCATCCGTATCCTCCACCACAACCGAAAAAACTCCCGCCAAGAATGGAGAGGGCACCAGATCTCCCATCGGACGAAGCCAAAGAAAGACCAATTGGATTCGATTGACAGCTCGTGACAGATTGTGACACGAAGTACTTGATCCCCATTTGGACGCGATGCAACACAAGATCCCGATCATAGATCGGGTAAAGAAGCTTTCGACGCGCGAAGCGATTCGAGCGGACGCCGGATTGTCTGGGGGGAGGGCGCGCGGAATGTTGGCAGGATGTACAGTGTCCAGCGAGCAAACTTTCCGACTCAGCGGAGACAGTGCGGCGGTAGCACCAGCATAGCCAGCGGACGTGGTCGGCCTCCACGGAACCGTGGCCCCGATCCCTTACCCCACAGCCTGACTAAGACTCCTGGGTGAGGAGGCTCTCCTGGTCCAGGCCAGCTTCGTCTCCTCTGAGCCTCTCTGCTTCCGTTTGCGAGGAGGTAAGACCAGACGCGGAGGGAGCGTTGCTACCCGCGGGCCCAAAAGCCAATCATCGGGTGTATTGCGTTGTGTCTCGTCGACGATCTAGGTGAAGATCAGTGGACAGTGCGTTCATGTCTCCATTGCTGCTGCTGCTGCTCCGAAATCCTCCGACTGATTTCCCGACTCTCGCCTTCAATAAAATATTGACCGCTTCAAGGCCGAAGGAGAACATGCCAATGACGTGATGGCATCAGACATTCAATCAGAAAACAAACCAGTCCACTCATGACCAGCACAACCTGGTTATCACGCCACGCCCACGATAAGGCCTAGAATTTACGCTGGTCATCGACGGTCGATCATCCTCCGCTTCTAATATCAGTGACAGTGCACCATCTGCCATGCCAACCCGTTTTGGTTAATGGGACGTCGCCACCACCACCATCAGCCTGTCCAGCGGTCATGGGTGACGAGTTGAGAAAGCTCTGCGGTGCAACCTGTCCATCTCACGCTCTCTCGATAATCACGCGGATTGGAAATTCATCTTGAGGTCGCGCTCACATCACTCGTTCTAGAAGATCCATTCGCGTCCAATCCCCACCCTCGGAGAAGCATTGCGATCGCGGGATGGCGGTAATTCGCGTTTCACGCCCCGGTTACTCACAGGATACCAGCCGCTCTCCCGCGTGGTGAGGCATGAATGCGAATCTCCACCCCAGAGAAGAGCACTCAGATTGGCAGGTACACCTGTTTAAGGACTAGACCTGAGCTTCTGTACACATCACTCTGTACGGTAGGACCCACCCAAGAGACCGTCTAGAACAACCGAGATTCTACCGGAGATGTCTACCACCCGGTGAGCGAATCCGTCCCAACCCCCGCATCGACCATCTAGAACAGCAATGTCGTTTCGTCTCGTTATTTCATGTGACTCGGAGAGACTTCATAACAACCCGTGTACAGAAGGCCAAGGTCGTCAAGCTTGAGCGGGCCTCTGTAACCTCAGCGACTTGAGTCATCACCTCATGGATTGGACGTTCCGCGGCCCGAGGATGTCTTCCACCACTTGCTCATCGCACTTCCATTTCGGACATCGGCCAGCGGGTGCAGTGATGTGCGCCCTAGCTCTGCGACTATGCCATCCGCCCTTCCAACGCGCATACCGCGAACCGTCGTCGTTTTGCTCGCAGCAGAACAGAACACGATGATATATTTCGAAATCTGCCATTCGGAGATTTAAGAACTCGCTCGTATGAAGTAGCCTTCAGAATTCCCACGGCTTGCGCCTCACATAACTACATCAGACTAGAGCGACCCAGCACTACGACGACAGGATCAGAATGGGGCTGAGGATCGGCATTCTACTCGGGGAGGTAATTGAACAACTGGAACCGACAGCAGATCTCCAGAGCGGGGTCCGGGCGGACAATTACTAGTTCCCCGGCGCTGGTGCTAAATTTATGAACATCTCTGATGAAGTTGCAGCATCCTTCCGTCGTGGAAATGAGGTTCCAGGAACGACTGTAATCCCAGGGAATTTGTGTCTCCATAGGGTCTGTTTGGGTGTACTACTGACCTCGAATTGAGTCTCTCGACAATCCCAGCTAGGATTCCTCTCCATAACGGATGCAGTTTACATGGAGAATTCTGCCAGTCTGAAACCCATGTGGGTGATTTCACAGTGAAGCCGCATCCCCGATTCAATTGTCGCGCATTCCCATGCTGGCATCCGGACCACCGATTCGAACCTCAATTAATCATCGAAATCGCAAATCCGGCTGCCGATCCAGTGCGCTGCGCTGTATTCTTCCCATCACGCCGAGCACATAGGAGCGAAGGTGCTGAATCTTCGAGGAGGTACGGGCATACACAAGCGATCCGATGCCTGGGACCTCGATTGCACTTGGATAGCATGCTGCCGGTCATAGCAGTCCGTGGTGGCGTGGCGGATTGTGCGGCGGGTGTACAAAGTGAGTTGAAATTATTTGGCATATACCTCATTCCTATCATTTCCTCCCGATAAGAACTGGGATCTTTACTTTCAAAGCTTCGCTAACTCGACTGGAGGGTTAAGCTGCGTTGGGCGCAGATCACTGGTGACACACAATCAAATGAGGATCATTTGTGCTTCTGAGCATGTGCGGGCGATCTACTCAATCACACATGGTCAGAGTGAATGAAACTCGGTGCCCGGTCGAACTCGACTCTGTCCCAGGTCGAACATTCAGGCCTCACGATTGATCGGGACAGCGGGTTCAGGGGAGCCTCGGATCATTCATGATCGATGAAACTCTGCTAAATCACTGGTCACCGCGCACCCCATACACAGGAAGCTATGCCACACAGGATGAGCCAGGCTAGATACTTCACAATTTAGCTACCCTCTCTACAGGTGCTTGCAAAAATGTCGAGATGTTCACTTGTCGACGAAGTCACAATCAGCCGAGAGCCTGATCAGCGGATTTGATGTGAACGTATTTAAGTTATTTAACTTGGGCCCCTGAGGGCGCCCATGTAGGACTCAGGACCACGCTTCACCCACAGTATCTGAGTGCCAAGTCGATTTGTTTTTCCTGACACGACAGAATCTGAGTGGTCCAACAAGCAATTCAATCTTCGAACCGAGATGATCTTTGCGCCCGGATCGAGTGGAAAGCGCGCGCGCCGCCGCCAAGAGAGTGTACCAGCAGTGTTTGCCAAGCCGTAATCCATGGCTAGGTTTCTTTCTAGACGGGGAGAATGCGTGCGAACGGTGGTTGAAACCTCTGCAGTTGGGGCCACTTGTCGGGCCATCCCTGTTCCGCAACGAGCGCCCATACGAGCCTACAACTTCCAGAGTGCTCGTCGCTGCTGGGGCCCAGTCTAGACCCTTGCGGCGGCGGCGTACTGAGACGATCAGGGGCTCTGACTGACTGGCGGTGGGCGATCGGAGCGGACGCGCGATCTCCGAAGATGCGCTTTGACAGGAGGCGGTGCACGTTAATTAAACAGCATCAGCACACCACGGGTTCACGTGCTGGGGTGTGCGGGCGAAATGCGCAGGCAGTTTCTTGTGCCGGAGAAGATATGGGTTGAGATAGAGAAGGACGATGTCTGCTTATCGGGAGAATGGAAGTTGAGAACGTCATGCTTGGGGGAGGGCACATGGTGCGTTGCTCGAGAAACTCTCCTACTTTCCAATTCACTTGATAAATTGGGAGTGACGCGCGTTGATCATTCGAGGCAATGCCAACGGCTTGTCACGCAATCAGCATCCGATCTGATCACATCTGTTGGCGGTGGATGCGTCCAGGCCCACGGACACATAGGGTGAACATCCTCCGAAATAAAGTAAATCTGGCCGAAATTTTTGACTTTAACCCTCCGGGAAATAGCGTAAAAGTGCCTCAAAAATGGCAGCAAGCCTCCGGAGATAGCGTAAAACTTGGCTAGATCCCTGCCGATCTTGAAAGATTTGAGCCCTGCACCAGCGTAAAATCGGGTAGAACCCGGCCTGATCTGGGCATTTCTGACTTGAATTTAGACATCTGGGCTCATGTAGTCTTTTCAGTCGTCAGCAAGACTAATTTTAGCTGGAAATGTACTGAATTTGGAAGTCTACGGAGAATCTAACAACCGATATGATCAGAATGATCGCTTGCCTGATCGTTTTTTCTTGCCCATCGTTCCCGGCTCCCAAGCGCTGCGCCATCCTGCCGGTTCCCGAAGTACATGGGCATGACAGAAGTGTCGGCAGCTGTCCTCGAAGTCACGGACAGTGACGAGAGTACAGACCTAGAGTTGGATCTCTCGGAATGGATTGGCGTCGGAAAAGTCTACAAGGACGTCCCATCGGCTCGTAAACGCGTAGCGGGAACAGATACTGTGCGTCCTAGAGGTGGTATAGGTCAGGTGAAAGCTCCTACAGCTTAAATACAGTCCCTAGAAGCTTAGGGAGAAAATTCGAATTAACCCTCCAAAAATAGAGTAAAAGTTGCTCAAAATGTCGAAAAATTTAACGTAAAAGTAGGTAGACTGGCGGAGGATGTTCACCCTATGTGTCCGTGGGCCTATGCGTCCGTTGTGAGGGCCGTTTCTACAGCTGGAGGAGCACCACGAAATGATCGTTGGAGGCTGCAATGGTTCCAGGGTCGGAAGCGAGCAGCTGCATTCTAGAATATCGGTGCGTGTTCTTGAACCACTCTAACTGACAATCGATGCCAGACGACTCGGATTCGAATGTTAACTTTCCTCAAGTGCTTATGTAATATCGCATCGGGAGCTGGCGTCCCCCCGATGTCAGTCTGTCCGGCGCTAATCTGTGCTGGCATTCGCTGGGGGGGGAGTCCGTCGGCGGGTGAGATAGAGAGCAGTGATCGTGATGGACGATCACTCGGCATCAAATGTTCCCATTGACAGCATGACCAATCGTTTAGACCAGCTGAGGCGGTTTCAGGGCCTTGCGTGTGACAAGGGGCTGGCAGAATCAGCCGGTCTAGCGTAGACAGGTTGAACGAGTCGCAGAATTCGTGCCTAGCCTCCCTTCCCGCGCTTGGGACTACTTACGTACCTGATGCGTGAACGAACAAGGCACCCGCACCCGCAACACACGAAATGACTAATGGTGCCGGTATCCAAAACTAAGCGAGATTTGCAATACTTGGCTGTCAACGGGTTTGTGCTAGCCGTTCACCCGCGCCCATCAACACCAGGACGGCTTTCATGGGCCGGCCGTATGAGAGTGGAGAGACTTTCGCTGCGACGCAACGCCGAGATGTCCGACCTGACAGTGGCTCATTCGTTTTCTCAAGCGCGCCACAATCTTGTTTAGGCACCGAATTCATAGCCGGATGTAGATTCTAGCTGGACCCTAGATGGACGAATCAAGGGATGCCACCTAATGCGAACGATTCGTGACAGCCTCTTGGAGAAACTTGTCGGAGCCCAACGATGAGACGGACCGAATGATCCTGGAAAATGACGCAGGCCTGTGACGATGCATCCCGAGGCGATAAGCGAGGACAAGGTCCCGAGCTGCAATTTGGGCCCGCGACGAGTTGAAAAAGAGCCCGGTCGCGAAGAGAAGCGCTGCCTAGAGCAAATCAATTCGCCTCATTACAGAGTGCAGGCAAGGCAGAATGGCAGGGTGCGCGACCAGAGACCAGCCGATGGATCGTATCATGAGCTTCAGCAGTGACGGGGATGAACTTGTGAACGGCGTTAAGCCCAATCGGGAGGCCGTCTTGCTTTCGCGGTGAATGCTTTGGCGCGCTTGAATGAATGCAGACAATCCCGAGTGAGAGCTAACGTGAGGATGACTGCTCTGCGACCCACCGAAGCAGAGTTTTGAGCTAGAAAGCACTTGTTCGCCTCTGGTTTTAGAACGGGTCCGTCATTTGCCTTGGATCTCAGGCTCGGACTGCAACGGATGACTGCATACGCGAAGCGGCCTACCAAAAGAGTACACCCTTCCTTCTTTCGATATCCTGACGACGAGGACTGACCACTAGCTTCCCGTCTTCGAAGGCAGTACCGCTGACAATTGGAAGTGATGCGTCCCAGCGCACTCGCTTTCTGGAATGTGCGGAGGAGTTGGTCAGTGACCAAGTCCGAGGACTGTTCAGCAAGAACCACCCACGCCTTCGCTGCATGTCGAGAGTGTATTGGACCACGAGCACCGGTGGATCACGGTTTTCGCGAATCGATGCAGTTGCGAACGCCCATCAATAGGAAAGCTCTGTATCACTTCAGCGACTGGCTCACGTTCGTGAATGATGAGGTCAAGAGCACACAGTTACCATTCGGAGACCTATTTTTAAATGAAAAAACAAAAAGACTTGAAAGAATTACAGCCGCTCGATGAATGTCAGCCCGGAGACTGCCAAACCGTCACTCGCAGAGTCGATCAGAACGATTCGGGCATGTGGCCGCGATGACGTACTGCAATATAGTCACCCGGCAAGACAAAATATGTCTGAGAACGAGACTAACTGCTGTGAGTGGAGCATAGCCTTCAGACTCATTCCGACCTGCACCAATCACTGAGCCCTTTAAGCCACGGAGATGCCGAAGAAGCGAACAGAAAACAAAGCCTGCGGACGTGCTGACAAAGGGGCACGTGGCTGTGTGAAAATTTAGCTTCCGCTCGTCTGTGTGTCCCCCACTCAGGGGTCAAAATTGCCGTTTCTTCTCCCTGCATATCCTCGAATAGAGCTGCTCTGAAACGCTCGGAGCACCGCACAGATTTCACAAATATCCTTGTGAGCCTCTTTCTCCCTGGGCAACATCCCCGAGAGAGCCTCAAAATCGACGTACTGACAAAGCACCCCTGTTTTGTCTCAGCTCACACAAGCACTCTTTCCTCCATGTCTGAAACAAGCGTCCTGCAATCCATGCATATCAAGGATGTACGTCTCACCTCACACGAGATACGGGAACAGTCCGGTGAAGGAAGTGGATCGATGACGGAGCCGCCGGTGCGTCAGCTATGCCCGATGCCCATCAGAAGTACGCTCACACATCTACAGCCGCCCGCATCCACCGGGAATGCTCAGCCCAGTGAGACTGCAGTCAGTCCTTCCCGACGCCTCACTCGCTCTGCAACCGGGCACTCAGCAAAACCAAAAACGCGCGACGACGGCTGGTACGAAGCCTCTTCACCGAAGAAGAAGAACACTCCCGTCCGCAAGAGAGCTGTGGGTAAGACCGCCCGCAAACGCACCATCGACGAGGTAGAGGGTGACATCGAGTGGGAGGAGCCCCTGGATACGCAGTCGACGTCGGTGCTGCCTGCACCGCTGCCAGACACGGCAGAGTCAGCCCCTGTCGCGGCTATAACACCACCAGCGCCCGTGTCCTCGATGACGAGCGCGGAATCGACTGTCTTCGTCGAGTCGAATGGGGACTATTACACGAACCCAACACATCGGCGTCTAGTGCGGACGCGTACTAATTTACCTGTGCCAGTGCCGAATCTGATCAAGAAAAGCCGGGGGCGGAGGGTGCCCACAGCGACGACATCTGGAACAGAAGAGCCGGGAAAAAGAGTGCATGTTTGTACAGTGGACGGGTGCGGGAAAGCCTTCCATCGCGGAGAGCATCTGAAGCGACATATCCGGTCTATTCACACACACGAGAAACGTGGGTCTGATGAACTTGGCATACAGCTGCGACTGACCACTCCCTTCGTACTCCTGCCAGCGTTTCCGTGCACCTTCCCGACCTGCCACAAGTTCTTCAACCGCCACGATAATCTTCTACAGCACATCAAAGTCCACCGGGACACGGAAGATGGGGATGGGGAGGACGACATTGACGCGGAGGGTTCTCCTGCACCGGAAGAATCGCCGCCTGTGTCTCCTCTGGTCGACGCATATGAAGCTGCCCGGGTCGCCATCATGCACCTAAACTCGCAGCGAACGTCGATCACCTATCCCAGTCTCGGTGCTGCGCCCGTGGGGATGTCCTATTCCGGACCCAGCGTTCCCTCGAGCAGCTATGCCACCGTGTCGTCTCTGCGGACGGAGTTGCCAGAGTCGCCTTCTAAAGATGTCGCTTCCCAGCCCCAGCCCGGCAAAGACGATGCAGTGACCCAGTTCTTCTTCGGCGAGCCGGGGCAACAGCACCCGGCATCCTATCATGCTCCTATGTTACCTACAGAGCAGTCAGTCTGATCATGTATCGTCGTATGTGCTCCTTGTTGTTTTTTTAGTCATCTAGAACTTCTATTTTGACAATCCCGATTGCGAATTCCCAAGATATTGGCGCTGCCCTTTCGGACGGAGCGAGCGAGACGTTTTCTTGGTATCTGAAGGCTGTGCCGTGTAGCACTCATTCCCTCTACCAATGGTCAGAACTGAGCTACTTGCCGCTCTCCTACGCCGAAAGTAAAGATCGAGCCCATGCAGTTGAAGAAACCAGAAAGAATCCACATAGACCACGGGCATACCAAGTGACTGAAAGCTGAGCAATGAAGGGGTGGTCGCAATGCTGTGTGAATTTTTCAGTGATAAACGATCTGGGGGCCAGGGATTGTGAGCACTCCGTCAAAGACCAAATTGGAAACAGATTCTCGAGGAGGGCCTATGCAACAGACGGGCCGGTAGGGCCCGGGGCCCGGTCAGTTACCGGCACATGGTAACTTGCCACATTTGCGTACCCTTGAGTACTCACTCATCCTAATCCCCAGTCCTTGCTCTATGCTGATTACCTTGTACATTATTATTCTTCATCCTTTGACTTCTGATGCCGAGTGCGTTTTTATGCGCGTATCAACATCTAAAAGACTCCGGAATCGACTTTGGCGGCCGCAAATTTTTTGTCTTGGAGACCCTGCGCCATGGGGTTGCATCCTATGACTGGTGGTCCACCTTTAGGCGGTCGTCACATGCGTTGAAGAGCATCCGGAGATAAGCCGCAGGATACAAAAAGTGGATGCATGGAGTGGGGTGCGCGTAAAGACGATGAAGACTTCCCTTGCCCTCATCGCCATCCTCCCCGCCGCCGTATTCGGGTGGGACACCTTCGTGGTACCGCATACGGCCGGTGCGGACGATATGCCCGCGTTCTCCGCGCTGGTAGCGAAGCACCCCACCAATGCGACTATCCTTTTCGCGCAGGGCACGACGTACAACATTTTCACGTCGGTTAAGTTCCCCAAACTCACGAACGTCGAGATTGCCATCGAGGGCAACCTGACGTATCCGACCTCTATCGCCGCAGTGCAGAGTACGTGTCGTTTGATCTGTATATCTTCGCCGCTGAGCGGGACTTCCAGAGGTCGTGAGCTCGTCCGCCTACGGAGGGTCTTGGTTTACCTTCACGGGTGGATCGAATGTCACGTTGCGAGGCTCAACGGATCCGAACTGGGGCTGGATTGACAGTCATGGGCAACAATGGTGGGACGCAAACCAGCAAACTAGTCGCCCACACGGCATCGCGTTCAGCAAAATTACGAACGGTGTCATCAAGAACATGAAGCTGTGGATGGTGTGTTTTTTGACATGCATTCGCGGTGTACTGATCGTGAATGCTGGACAGCCTATCGGATGGAACTTTGCGACTAGCGGTGTCAACAATGTGCACATCTTCAATAACACGATCATCGCTCGCTCCAGCACTTCATCGTTTCCGTTCAATACCGACGGTGCGCGTGTTTTCTGGCAGCGGCGTTTCCGTATACTCACTGTCTACAGGCTTCTCCGCGGGCGGAAGCAACATTCTGCTGGAGAAAAACCACATCGTGAACGGAGACGACTGTCTGACGGTCACCAGCGGCGCCACGAACATCACCTGGAGGTAGGCTTTTTGCGTCCGTGCGCTTCTTCGCTGACGTTCCCAGGAACTCGTACTGCGAAGGGGGCCATGGATTGTCCATTGGTTCTTTGGGCAAAGGCGGAGCGAAAGCTCAAGTGGATAATGTCTAGTGCGCGATCACTTTTGCCGTTCCCGCATTCTTTGACCATTCCCGCAGCATCGAAAATACTGTCATGGTCCGTACATTGCAGTTCCTAACGAGCACATGTATTGAAGATTTTGTCAGGTTAACTCCCTGTATGCGGCACGCTTCAAGAGCTGGACCGGCGGTAATGGTCTTGCTCGCAAGTATGGTGCTCTGGCATGACTCTTTTACTTCGTCTGACGACGAGCAGCATCACGTGGAAGAACATCACATTCCAGAATGTGCCCTTCCCGGTATGTTCATCTCCTGCCGTGCTTTCCTATGCTGATTCCGCCTTGCAGATCTATGTTACACAAAAGTAGGGTCCGGCCAGATTCACTGGAACTCTATTTGATCTTGAATGACCAGTTATTGGGATCAGGGCAGCGGCTCTCGACCAAACGGCACTTCTGTCACAAACACTCATATTCAAGACTTCCTATTCGACGGCTTTTCCGGTACCATCCAAGAGTGAGCATGATTGTGGTTCTTCGACTGCATCTCACATCCATCTAGCACCCCGGGTTACATCGAGGGCTCTTGTGTGACGAACCCCTGCTGGTATGCGGTCACCAATGCGACAGGGCGGGAAGTGATAGACTTCGACTTGTATCCCGGGACTGCAACGAACGTGCTGACGAAGAGCATCTCTGCAAAGACAGTAACGGGCCGGCCAGTTGCTGTGATGTGCGACCCCTCGACTGTGAGTGCTCGGCAGCATGCTTTCTTCCTGTGCCTTGATGGAGCCACAGATCACCAACGACCCCGGATTCAAATGCCTGGATGGCACTTTCACGCCTGATCAGGCGGGAGCGTGAATAGTCTCGAGTGTCCGTTGATATTTCATACACGTGGATTTGACATAATGAAAAGAGAATTGACCGAGCATCATCACCTAGCTGCTAGTCATCAGTAAAGCCTACTTTGGAGGCGGCGAGAAGGGTATGTACTGGGGCTGATAGCTATTAGGTGGGCTTGTTGGTGGCGGCGGGTTTGCGTAGTGTGGCTGGTAGGTCGAATGACCTGGGCCTGCAAGTTGAGGCTCGAAGAGCCTGCGATCATTCTCGTATTAGTGTCCGGCAAAGCACGAGTGAGAGACATATCTACCCGGCACTATGCTTTGCTCTCCAATGACAGATTTGGCACAACCAGATGTGGTCACTCGAGAATGGGATGAGAGGAAGCCAGAAAAGCTCGAACCACGTCGTGGACTTCGCTGCCCTCACGGAAGCTGAGATCATGTGTCAGGATACGATCGGAGAGCATTGGCCATGCAGCTCACCGTTATGGCAGTTTGGACAGACACGCACCCCGGAGTCGCCCTCCGCCTTAAGCCTGTCTTGGCAGCCAACTACACATATATCAGGGTTGAAAGAGAATGATAGAAAAGTAGGACACACAGATAATGGGGATGCACATCGTGGAGCAAGCCAAGGGAGTCTTGCCTCCGTCGGCTTCTCCCGAAGTCATGATCACGCTTTACATCCCCGACAACGCGCTACATATCGCGGACCATGTCATAGCCGTTTGCAGTCACCCTCATGGACAAGAAACCTGCTGGAATCTCCACCTCTCTTCTATCTTCCAATGCCCCGCCCTCCGAAGCGGATGCCGCCTCGCTGCATATCGTCCTTGCACACCTGGGAAAGCAGCTAGCAGGCATCGACGAATCCATCGCGCGGCTTCAACTACACCTGCGTGAGCTTCAGAAGACAAGGCAAGGCGTTCTGGAGGATGTGAAACGGGTTCGAACGGTCTTGTCGCCGATCCGCCGCCTCCCACCGGAGATCCTGTGCGATATATTCGCGCTTTGCATCCCGAGCGAAACATCGACGTCCTTCCGAGGAAAGCACTTAAAGTTCCCTTGGGTGGCAACACGCGTCTGCCGGTCGTGGAGGGACGCTGGTGCGGCCAATGCGGCGTTTTGGTGTCGCGTTGATTCGGGAACGCCGCTCCCCGTCGTACGGCTGCAGCTTGAGCGGTCTAGACAGTGTGCGCTGGATATCGATGTCGGTTTTGCGGACTGCGAGATCCTGGGGCTGGTGGCCGGGCATTCTGAGCAATGGGAGACGGTGTCAATTGCCGCCAGTGCGAATATGCTACCGATTCTCGATAGCGTCAGGAACCGTATCCCCCGGCTTCGCTGGCTGCTGTACATCGACAGCACAGGTGTGGGCGAATGCTGGGGTTTCTCAGTGGCCCCCTTACTGACGAGCGCGTTCGTGCTGGGGAAAACGAGGATGGTGCATCTTCCATGGGGTCAACTCACGCGACTTCGGCAACGGATCCCGCACGACGATTTCTCGCAGCTGGGGTTAGGTT